TGACTTTGTCCAGTCATCTTATATGTCTGGCAGCTTGCACGAGTATGTATTTACTTCCACACGTCTCTATTCATACAAGGCTAGCAAAATCGTTCTGAAATGAGCTTGATGGTTGCACGAACACTGGAATAAGAAAGTTGTTACAACGTATTGGTGACATTGCGTCAATAATGGTTTGACACAGTTAAACGATTTTCACCTGCGTATGCATCACAAAGTAAGGTTCACTCACATCTTTCCATCTACTTGATCCGTAGTTTCAGGGTTTTCGAAAATAACTCATGCTAAAGATCTGTATCTCTTTTTGAAGCTGGGTGAGTTTAAGAAGGTCGATTCCTTAAAAACTGTTGAAAGTTGTGGGAGGCAAGTCATCTGCAACTACACTTTATGCCCCAGAAATATGTTGTATATCTAAAATAATTTATTCCCAAATAACATTGTTACACAGAGCTTGTCATTTTACAGGCAAGATCAAAATTTTACTAATATAATAGGATTTGGTGTAATAAATTACTCAGTTAGGTCGATAAGTTATCATGATTGCTGGTCGTAGAAAAGGGGTATGAGATTCTGTACACAAGAGTGTTACTAATAATATATTTCTGGCAGGGCAGGTACACGCCATTTTTACAGGCACGATCGGCAATTCGCAACACGGGTTTAAAGATAACATATTATCCAGGTATTGCGTAGAATGTCGAGACTCTAGGAGAGTAATTTTCTGAAGACTAGCTAAGAGAAAAGGTGAAGTTCTATAGTTCAGCGTATTGCAATCGTCTCGAGAAGAATGTCACAGGTTGCCAGGTGTTATTTACTTATTTTTATAAAATTCCTTTGATTTCCGGATCGCATGCATCTTGGGCGAAATTAATGGATGATTTCGCGTTGAGGTGCGCCAGGATTGAAGATATGGTAACACTGCTTCTCGCCGTGGTAGATGTGTCGTGGGATTCGGTCCTAACCACACGACATTTGAAGCTGAGTACATAATTTCTGAAAAGATTTATGTTCAGTAATTAACACGAAGAGGTTAACAATGAAGAACGCTGGAACATTCACTCAATTCAGCCTCGCAGACGTGGTCATTCTGAAAAACATCTTTACTCACATCAAACATAATATGCTGTCCTTAGCCTAAAAGTGTTCCTTAGAAACGCCAAACATTATCTCGCTTATTTTCACGACACCACGTGTCAGGATAGACAATGATGTAACTTCACAAATGATCGTTCACTGGGTGGTGATCAATGTCATATGTATCAGGTCCTTCTTAGTTCAGATCGAATCCGATCGACCAAGTTGCAGTATGGCCACTAGTTCAGATGATTCAAAAAAGTGTGCACCACGCTGAAGTAAGATGGTGGTTGACCAACAAATTGTGGACACATCTCAGCCCTATAGGAGGTCAGTTGCGGCCCAAATAGGCGAGTGGTAACATCTCTGACTGTGAAGCCGGGTTACACGGGATCGAATCCGTCAGGGAGAATCATTTCCCTTAGTATTACAGGTACACCCTTCTGACGAGTGCCGAATCGCACAAAACCCGGGTCCAGGGTATCCCGTTGACTACCTCCAACCACCATCGTATATCAATGATGTGACATCCACGTAAGATTTAACAGATTAGGTAATTATTTCATGACAAATTTCCAATTTGAGGACCATTTCTATTATTAAAGTAGCACTAACATGTGAACTAGAATATAATACTACAGATGCTTCGCATTGTCGTCCATGTTGATGATTTCTTCAGTTCCACTGAGTTAGTCTGTTAGAGATCTCATGAGACGCTCATTTCGGTATGGACTGTCGATAAAAACTTGCCGGGTCGTTAAACGTGCGTGACTGCTTTGTGGTAGTTCTGTGGTTCTGTGTAATCCACAATGACAGTCACTTTATCTTGTAGAGACTGAATAACTTGAGTCTGAATGTTATGCTAATGAATTTTTAGGGAGTTGGCTCCTAATGACATTTTCGAATGTTCACAGTAATGTCATAATTTTGGAGTCATTTAAAAACAAGTTCATGATGCTGGAGATGAGATCTTCTTCACGGACTTGTGATCATGCGGTTATCAAAGTAGGCGTACATGGAGTTGAGACTGCTAAGTACTTCATCGATGAATCTATGAAGTTTTGTGCAGCATTTATAATGCTGAAAGGCATACTCAAATGTTTGCATAGTTCAAAGCGAGTGGTGATAGCTTTTTTAAGAACGCTTCAAATAACACTGTAATTCGGAACAGTGTTAGGGACCGTACGTGAACCTTTGTAACCCCGGTTGAGAGGAGTGTGTGAGGAACTGAAGGCAACAGTCCCAGACCTGATCTCGTTATAGCTGCGATTCATATTTGGTTAAGTTGGAACATTGGAGATTTCTCCAGGGCCCATGATTTAGAAAATTTTGGATATATTGTATCCAGGGTCTACTTTATCTGCGCTGTGAATTCTGCACTAGACATAGATGAGTACGAGTACGGGAATTCTCCATTATATCAGTGGAATCCTTTCAATACACCAGCTGCTTATAAGTAGTGAACGACCATACTGAATCTTATGGCTGCCGGGAGTTTACTTAGATCATGGAAGATTCGAATTCTATCTGACGTCCAATGCTACCTCAATAGTTCATGGGCAACAATAATTTGAGATTCGTCTTTTAATGAAGGAGCTTGTCGTTATTTCAGGAATAATATAGTTGATAGAAACTCCTGATTATCAAATAAAGCGATCACTATTTGTTCAGTGAAATTCTCTGTCAGATGCTGTAAGGAACCCTCAGATTTGGATCTACGTGATCAAGACATATTTAGCAGTAAATTGACCCCCGAAATGAATAATTCTGTAAGTATCCGACATTAGTGGTTATCTCATCAGTCTTGATTGATACAACCTGGCTGAAGACGATTGGTGATGCATCCGTACAAAATTACCACTTCATATATCTTGTTACTCACCGCTTGTGACAATTAGCCAAGTTAAATAAAACGCTTCATAACATATCTACAATTTTTCAAATATATCTTTAAACACTTTCGTTACTGACTTTTAATTTGACTGGGTTGGAGTCTTTCAATTACAGAGGTGTGGCATCTTTACGTGTATCAGTAGTTTAAAAATAACCTGATAAATATTTAAGACATCTCGCAACCTTCAATTCCGACGACTAACACGCGAGCATGTCCTTAATCTCATGTCAAATACCTTTCCTAGCTCGTCAAATTGCCAAGACGGTACATAAGATGACAACGTATCACAGATGTCCGACGATAATGCTTCCCTATGGTCAGACGGTTTTTGTCTTTTGATATTTTCAACATATTAGCATTTCCAACCCGCCCCATTTAGTTTCGGTTGGAGTTTAAGGGTTATTGGCGACGACTAATGATGAACATCAATGTTTTTCCTGAAAGACAAATTGCTTCGAAACGATTAATGGAAAAAATCCCCGACAAAGTATTCGGTAATACATTATCCACTTGTGAAATATATTATATACTTAAAGCAAATTGCAAAGCTAAGTCTATTTGGTTGGAATGTCGTAGATAGTATTTGTAGACTAATGAGTTTAGATATGGTTATCAATACCTACAGTCTAAGAAAGTGATGAACCGTCGTAATTCACTGGTGTCCAAAGTGCCTTAACACACAGAACAGAACAGGAAGTTCATTAACCGGATCAAATATCTTTTGACTTGCAAAATAATGTTGATGTCGAGTTGCAAAGTATGTACTGCACATACGAAGATGTTTCGCAGATGCAGTCGTCACACTTAGGAATTTCTTCGCAGGCCCTAACTATGTCGATTACCGAAAAAATAATTATATCCTCCAATATAGATCTCAAGTCGTTAATTCTCTGTGAGATATAACGAGTTGGATTAGTCTAAGAATTTAGTCATTTACAATCACCACCAAGGCTCCAACAACTACTAGCCTTTAGTCGTAGATAAATCCACAAAATGAATAGTTCGGTAAGTCTTCGACATTTGGTGCTGATCTCGATGGTTTTACTGGGCATATCTAGCTGAAGGTGACCAGTCACGCATCCGCACCGGATCATGAATGGGTAATCCGTGTTACATATCCCTTACAACTGCTAGCTAGATTAGATCAAACGTTCCCAAGACATGCCGATAGCCTCACAAATATATTTTCGAAATCCCTCATTCTCGAACTGACTGTTAGCTTACATTTGTTCACGCTGAAAATTCCGTTGTTCGAGAGGCTACAATTTCGTAGTAGTTGTTGATGCGCGACTTACTTTATCAAACACTGAGACTGTAAAATCCGGGATATTCTGAAATTATTTTGGGCCAAATAAAAAATAGTGGATTCAGCTTGTCAGTTCACGTGGCAATGACTCACAGAACCGCTATGAAACCAGCTGTGACACTGAATAACGTACTTGACAAAAACGTAGATCGGCAAGTAGATCACTAACGTAGATGATCAATGTCGAATAATTGATGGTCTAATCGAGATAGACGGGAATGGTTTGACGAACCAGATAACTTCGAAGTCATACCTCGTGGTCTGCAGCTAACGTTGATTACCCCTTCGTCGCATCAAGGTACTGCGATTTCCTTGGATACCGCATAAAAAAGGACGTTTTTACGGAAATCTGGTACAGAGAAGATAGTACGACCGCCACCTCATAGGCTAGTTCATGGCGTACGATAAATTAATGCGCTTTGGTTGTCCTTAATCCTACGGAGATCGATGGACTGTTCGACATTCAGTGAACCAATTGCCTGATGATTTGGCTAGGGCGCAGTGCCATTTCACTGGCCCTACAGGCCCCAAAACAAACTTGAAAGACGCAAAAACAATTCTCAGGCTTTTTGTCCTCAAAAAATTAACCTGGACCTTCAATTCGCTATGAGCGGTGTCGATAACTCAAGGAAAATATTCATGACTAATGAATTTCATTTTGCATATATCATTAACATAGTATATGTTGGCGAGGCCATTGTTGTAGAAGTCCAAACAACTGAACTTGCAAAGTACGACAGAAGCTCTCAGTTTGAAATTAAGATGAGATTACGTGTTGTCGTACAACAAATTATTTTGACACCATTCTGTCTTCCTTCTACTCTGGTGCGTTTTTAAGATTGGTCTTATTATATGGTATTCTATAGATTTGAATGTAAAACCGATTCACCAGAACTTATTGATCCTTGCTTCAAAAAACGCCTGTGATCACGGTCTTAAATAATCCATATTGTTAAGTCCATTTCGCACGCTGGCTTTAATGCAAATCAATTTAGTCAGTGGATTTTGTTTATGGCCATCCTAAGGGTTGATTAAATTTCTACAAAAGTGAAAAGTGTACCTCACATTAAGTGCGAAGCATTCAAAATTCGTTAGCAACAGAAAAAGTCGAATTTCTTCTTAGGAATGAGCAGACGCCACTCATGCTTCATAGAAAGTTCTTTTGAACTGTCATTCACCTGCCTATCGTTAGACATCTACTATGCCAAATGTTGTCCATATGGACAATTTTCTTACCAACATGCTGTTAGTTTTACTTAAGAAGTGTGTTAAAGGATTTACCTGGAAAGTAAAAAAAAGATTTATCAAAATCTTCTTACTGTCTGATAAAAATCTCACTAATAAGTGCATTTATGTAAAAGTTCGATGAAGTCTCATCCTGGTGGCATTGTTTGTATATTTTACGATTAACATTGGGAAGAAGAACTATTTGCTCTTATCCAAAATTATACTGTCTGTCGAGTGTTAGTGATTTGAATCAAATATTCGCCTGTATCAAGTTATTAATTAACAGTACATGTGAAATTCAACCTCAGGGATACTATTCGTCCTTGAATATATAAAGTTCCAACAACACTTTAAACCTTGATTTCATATGATTTTTTCCATTTGACATCTTTTTCACCGTAAAACCCATTGTTACTCTATATAAATTTAGTTTGTGGTGCATTTTAAGACAATAGGTAACGTTTATCTGCACCCACACTTATAAGCATCATCTCTTAATATCCTATGTATGTCAATTAGCAAGTTGGTATAAGTTAATCTTGAAGCTTAAATTTAAAATAACCCATTCACCGATTGCTCTGGTACCAGTCACAATCTAAATGTAAAGACCAATAAAATCACCTGGCTTCTCAAACTGAAGTGGACGTAGAAATGTATAAACAAGAGGTTTAGTAGCTGAAGGTCGAATACCTTAACCATTAAGTTACCGTTCCATATAACTTAGTTATGACCTGCTAAGAATATCTTAAAATTGTAGCAATTTTAATACATTAGAGTTATCTATTCTGTTAGCATTTATAACTAGATTGGATATGTCAACTACTTCATTTTGATCATGTTTTATTGATTGTGAATGCTCTATAAACAAACGTTATATCACGTGTTGGATTGTTTTACACTGCCACTATTGTGGGATATAGCCAAATGTAAGTCAACCAAAATATGGAAGAAATCTATAGATCTACTGATTCGTGGTTAGATACTTGAGTTAGAGCTCGGTGTTTGAATATTTGGGATGAAAAGATGTAAAACAAAAACCATAGAAAATTTTGTAAATAATGTTTTCAAGAATATGAATCCTTTATTACCCTTTGCTTTTTGTTCCTTATCACATAATTAACTTCCCCTTTTTACTACACTCCCTTGGTTACCGCCGTTGTCTGTTGCTCTCGGGTTTCTTGATGCCCAGTGATTCGAACCAACAATCTTTGTGCAAGTTTCTATCATGTTGCCTTGCTTATTTGAATAAATGAGCTTGAACGACAATGAAAAGTCAGCTTACTAAAAGTATCTGGAAGTGACTGTACGACTGTAAGGTAGTAATGTGACTTTATGTTCGAGAATAAAAATCATATTTTTCACACCTTTAAATTTATTTAGGTTGGTACCTAGAACTGTATGAGGTTAAAATGAGCATAATTTGTTTTCGATATCTTGTACTTCAACATTGACTACTAAGAATGTTTTACCTGGAATGTTAATGATTTTTATTGAGCTGATATCGAAACTAATGACAAAAAGTCTGACATTTCATTCTACTTTCTTGGCTTTTGGTCTATCTATTTAAAAGTACGTAGCTAGCGTATTTTGGAACTCTTCATCATCTAATTTAATTTGGATGAGCGTCGTTGACTCACATGAAGTATGAAAACCCTTTCCATTCGTATTATTCTCTGCCCAAAACTTAAAAATAGGTTGTTATCAGTCGTTTGTGCTTGAAATGAAATTAAATAGATACTGAGAGTAGTTTACTTAAAGCTTGTATTAGAATATTTAGGAAAACTTTTCACTTACTAACCACAATTTTAGTTGACAGTCTTTCAAGAATTGTTGGAGTGGGTTCTCGGAGTAGTATTCAAATTATAGTAACTGTGAAAGTTCTACATCCTATTTCTACTTGATACTGCATCAATATGACACAGTCAAGCACAACCTTACTATAGTTAAAGTAATTATCGAATAGCTCTGACAAAGCATATGATATCCATGAGGTTAAATTAGCTTAATTATGGATTTATTAGGTAACGGATGGTTATAAGTTCTGTTGTCGAAACTCATTTTGGTAAACAGAATATTCACCTAAACCTAGTCTACCCATTTTCGAACGTTTCCATCAAACTCACGTTTATTTATTCAGGTTACAGAGCCAATTATATCCCTAAACTCATGGGAAAAAGAAATGTTTTTGTAATTGGAAGCTATTATGGAAGAGGTATGCATTCTCAATTTATATGTCTATATCATGCCCAGGATTTAAGTCTATCTCATAGCTGCACACCACCCGAACCACCAGTTCGATCTTCCAGCACTATGTAAGTTAAGTCTGATACATTCATGCTCAATAATTCTAGGCATCGACATCCCTTGAAGGTTGCACCCAAAAAGCCACTCCCAGATCTGCCAAAGAAATCAGGAAGAAGCAGAAGTAATTTCATATCATATCATTGCATTTTTCCCTATTGTGGTTTTATATGACAATATCTAGCTTATTTCGTTAAATAATGCTCGTGTACAACTCTTAAAATCTTTTTATTTCTAGCATAAATGCTGTAGGCTTAAAAACAGGAGCATAACTGTCTTTGAAAATTATTTCATTAACAAATAAATGATATGAGAAACGTTTCAAAACACTAGCCGAAGCTACAATAGACTACCAAGAGCTTTGTATGAAGGTAATGTAATTGTAAAATATAGAAACGGCGAAAGGTTGTCTTGAAATATTTTTGCTGGTTAGATTTTCGTATACATCTTAGCATATTTTACTTAATATCATGTGCTCTGAGGCAATTAGAACGATTTTGTAATTCATGTTTCATACCACATTTTCGTTATGTATTACTGTTATTTTGGAAGCCTGCTGGTTTTCTCTAGTTCTCTAGTTAAGCGTCTCGCTTCTGAAATATTTAGGCCAACTAATTCTCTGTTAAAATACCGGTGTTGTCACATATGACCAGTGACTGAATTTTATTAGTCAAGAAATGTGATATCTTTATTAATGCAAGTGATGTAACGTAGCTATATTATTTATAACCATTTTATCCACCAGGGAAAATGCCTTTAGTTATTCAGGGAGAAATTCGTAACCCAAGAAACGTTATCATTTTTAATTGAAACGAGGTGGACTAATACTATAAAAGTACTTTTGAAAATTTTCGAAAAAGCTAGAAGAGCGTTTATTCCGTTGTTTATATTACAATTTTACTTGCATTCAGGCAGTAAAATGTTAATAAAATCTTTAGTGCAAGGGATAGTATAAATTATGCAATACTAAAAATCGGCTGTCTTTAATTAGAACAGATGAATTACAATTGATTGTATTAGTTTGCTTTAAGCTTTACTCTGTTCGTGGATAAAACAAAAAGGTACTCCATCAAAAATACCAAAGATAAGCATCGTTAATGACTCTATATTCTACCATAATTGCCGTTTGTTAATGGTGTTGAAGCCCTAAGCTGTTTTCGTATTCGTTGGAGATTTTCGACAAATTAGTAAGTAGAATAAAAAAATCCCAAAACGGGCTTCATAACTGTCTAAGTTACGTCTACAAAATCTTTCTATTTATATGGTCTCACTTCTGCATCTTGAAGGTTGAAATGTGATCCAGAAATTGATTCTTAGAAGTTTGGATAACCGGACTACAGATTTAAAACCGATCACTGAATTAAAATTCAAAACTCAATATTGCTATCCTATGACAATCATTCTATGCAAACCATATGTGCTTTGGTTCAAGCGATGACTTGGGTTAAATACATTAGTTTATGGGTCACGAATAGTTCTGATTGTTGTATATACTGTATAAAAAGAGACATAACAAAATATCCTTCATTGCTTGAATCCTATATAACTTCCCTGGACGTGAATAAACGACTATTTAGATGGAAATATATATAATTTTCGTTGATTTTTAAGTTCGTTAACTTCTGGTCACATATTTAAGTAAACTAATTTCACTTTATTGTAGTTAGATTATTCAGGTTACCTAAGCTGACTAGTGATCCGAAAATTTCTTCTCCGTTATGTGTTAGTCATGAACTACACGTGGTCTACGATGAAAATACCGGAGAATTCAGAGTAAGTTTCTGAAAAAATGAAAATATTAAAATAAATTTACCGGTTCATTTGTATTTTTATTGTTGCATCCGTTGGCTCCTAGTGTTCTGTATTTATGATCAATAGGCTTAATTGAAATTTAACTGTACAACTGTTATTCATCTGTTCTTTTATAATAAACTATCCTAAAACTTCAACGAGAAGTTTAAACAGACAAAACTACTCATGTAGATAGCTATCAAGATCACTAACAGATATTTCCTAGACGGGGAAATCTAACAACGTTGATCGGTCATGCTTTGGTGCTTGGAGTTTTAGTTATTTACATCAAAAGGATAGGAAACTTTACTGAACCGACACTGAGTTGGCGTGCGCACATTCTAGATAGTTTATTGAATGAGAAAACACTTTATTGATGCTTTTTAGCTTTATTAGTTTTATAGATAATTCTGACTATTGATAAATTTTATATTGGTTTTGATTAGTGGTTGTTTGACTCTCTCTTTCTTCGGTCTTAATGTACTTTCGTTTTGAGCTTAATGTGTGTCTGCAGGTAAAAGTATGAATGAAGACAAGCTCGCGTTTTTCATTTCATTTTATTCTATATGACATATTCCATAACATTTCATACCATGCAAGTACAATATTCTATAATTCACTCTGTTTGACATCGAGATGTGATGAGCCGTCTACGGAAACTTCAATCAATAGTGCCCTAAGAAAATTTCATTCACTTTTCTTGTGATCAATGCAAGCAAATAAATTTGATGAAATTTTGTTAAGAGGTTTCATAAAAATTAGTTTAACTTACAAGTCGTATTTGTTACGATGTCGTTAGTTTTGGTTTCAGTGGAAATCGCTATACAGTAGTAAGTGATTACTCAACAAAGCTCACTCACAAACTCCTGTTGATATAGCTTCAAACACCACATGCAAATCGAGCTGATATGGTCTAAACCTCTTGGAAAAAATACAATAGTGCACCCACAAGTGATTTACTTTGAGGTGAACTAACTTGGTTTGAGTGAGAATTTGTGATTATCGGAGTTTGGAAATGATATTAGACAACTGTTACGTTGTTTCACAAGCCAACTGAAGTTGGCCGGTTCGATTGTTGGGCTTTATTTCAGCGACTTGGAAGTGAAGAGCTAGCTACACGACTTATGTAGCAGGAATTTAACCTTCGGTATAGACGTGGAAGTTTTATACGTGAGAAGACGTCTATACCTTTCTTCCTAATTTTTAATTGTATCCAAACATATGTGCATCTATAGTGAAGACCATGATAAAACAGAAAAAATCTCTATATTTTAACTTCGATAAATACTGCTCTAATGTAAAGGGCACTGACTCATTTTAATTGATTGTAAGAAAAGGAATATCTACAAAACGGAAACACGGCATTTAATTTGCTTTTATCAATATCAGAAGTGCATTCCTTTTGATTGTTTTACTGTGGATTTCTGAATGTATGTAATAACTTTTAAATGTCCAGTTATATGTTATACATATTCCTAATAAGTCTTGCAGAAACATTTAAATTTTTTAAAAATCTGAATGTTAACCATAATTTCTCAATGAATTAGTATAGTGGACTACCCACTTAATAAGCGTTTTCTTCCAGGGAATGCCTGAGGAGTGGTTGGAATGGTTACATGCCGCCAATATATCATTTCAAGAGCGTGAGCAAAACCCAGAGCTCGTTATCGAAGTTTTGCAGTGTTACGATACGGCTAAACATCGGGCTAGGAGACAAAAGTTTATTATGACGGAAGAACATTGCTGGGGTAAGCGAACACTTGAGATGCAATTTCTTATCACTGAAATCTTATTATCACAGACTAAGTAGGCTAAATACTGACTAGTGCGACTGAAAGTGTAGATGTTTATTAGTAGTGGTAAAGTTACGTTGTTTGCATTTAATTTGTGTGTACAGTAGAAGGCTCATGTTCATAATAATATTTCACAACGATAAGAATAATTGTTTCACAAATTTGACCAATAGTCAATGAAACTCAGGAATGATACAGAATATTATATGAGACTTATGTTTTATATTATACGCTAGATCTAAGTGTTGATTACTATCCTAGTCGAGCCAACAATTTATTTTCATGTAAATAGAAATTTGAGATTGAGGGAAAGTTTTGAAGCTCAGGTGGATACTTTTGGTGTTCACCTGTTCTCTGAATTCAGTAGCTTAGTTGGGAATCCTTCATTATCATTCTGGAAAAATTCATCGGCACGTAATTCATGTGGAAGTGAAAATTTTGGTTATTCCACAAGCTTTAAACCAATTTGTTCGAATGATCTTGTCTTAGATTGGTTTTCTTCGCAGATTTCGTCATCTTCATTTGTTCTGGTAGTTCTGTAGGCTATCTTGTTTGACTGACCTCTGGATTCGATGACGCTTGACTTTTTACGTATGAGCCGGTGAAAGGATCAATGTAGATTAGTCTAAATGCCATGCTTATAAGATATTCTAAGAATTTTCTCTGCTTAACATTTTGACGTCTATTCAGACAAATGCTTATCTATAACTGTCGACGTGCAATAATATCAGTAATAAAAAATCATGGAGCTTCTTGACCATTCTGTGTTCATGTATGCGTAAATGAAGGCATGTTCTTACTTAGCTACATTTGGTATTCTTTTTACTTTTGTATTTGCCACGTTTCGTTTTTCTCTTCTGCAAAACATAAAATAGAACGAAATGCCTGTATATATATTACATATTCCCGATAATCTTCGTTTTCTTCGTACACTATTAAAATTTGAAAACCTTAAAGTATCCATAACCACTTGATTACATATGAAAAACTAGGTGTTGAAGTCATGGTATGATGACAGCTTTCATGTGACGCTTTTAAGCACACAGCTCGAGTTTCAAGTGATGAATCGGTAACAGCTCTGCAGCAGAAGGATTTATAAGATATTGTTGTAATGTTATTGTATCTGTAATTTATGTTAACCAGTTTTTTTAAAAACTGTTTAAAAGTTTTTGTATCTCACGCGTAAATCTGAGTATTGTTTGAATTGAAATAAACGATTATCTGACATATAAATAATAGTAATTCCATAAAATTCGTCTAATAAGTTAGACCTGCTCATCTACTTAATACTCATAATATTAAATAAAATCCAGTCATTTGACTCTTATTATTATGGATGTCAACAATCTACTGAACGAAATTTCATTAATTTTCACCGGAGAGCACAGAGGTTAATGTGAACGGGAATACAGGTAATGATGAATGTCGTATACAATTATCTTAATTACAAAAGAAAGGCATTTTCGGCACTTAAGACTCATTAAATCTGAAATTCACCAAACATTACTGAAACACTTAAAACATCTATCTAAATAGATTATCTTCTAGCCGTTTCAAATAGATGTACAAGATAACATGACTGGGGTGATAAAAATAAAACGTTGCTACCAAAATTTAAAAATTATACCATTTGTTAAAAGTAGACTCTTTATTAGACATTTAGAAAATTACGTTTTTGATTGTTCGTACAGACTCCAAGATCCAAAAATGTTGTTCCTCATTTCGATTGTCTCCCTTATTCATGTGGGCCTTTTTGATGGTCATTCTTTTGTTTTCGCTCTTATTAGTGTGAAGTTGGAGACTGAGATTGGCTAAAAAAACTGCACTTTACGACAAATTAAAACTGGATGAGTATTATTTACGGACGTCCTGTCATATATAGTTTATTATGCTTACCAAGAAAGGGTAAATATTTCTTTAAGTTATGACATGAGTATAAAAATTGAAAGATTGTTATCACACAACAAATGTGATTGATATACGCATAAACCTGCTCTCAGGTTGAACAATTTCGGTAATAAAAAACATAAAGAGCTGAAATTTTATTTAATTCCTGGTTTCTAAAAATTAATAAAAACGATTATTCTACTCAAGATATAGGGAATAAATTCACATTTTTTGTTAGTTGCAAATTAAGTGGGAATAAAGATCTTGCGTTTCATATATTATGTAAAACGTTTGTCGTATTAAGCTGGTTATGTTCATTGGATGTAAAGCATGTGTAGGCTCTTGTGTTTTAGATTAGATATTTTAAGAAGTCATTTAGATGTGTTAATTAATTTCACCTACTCTAATTTTTTTATCAGTTTCTTCCTAAATTTGTACTTTCAGTAATCAATAATGTCATGATAAAATATCCCAATTATCTATTTCGATTTCTAGTATGAATAACTAATCAATTAGATATATGACCGAAAAACCTTTTGCTCCTGTCTATCTCCCCGTCTTTCTGTTGCCCAATTTGTATTAGTATTATCACATATTATTTTGTTTGGCAAAATGCAACCAAATCTTATAAGTTATATCCTGTGCGTAGTAAAATTGTAGTAAGACAGGATATACTGCACGTTCAGTTCTCTTCAGATTTTCTTGACGCTCCAGATTCGAATATGTGAGAAAAGCTGTCCTCAAATCCAAATCAAGTTAACTATATATATATATATATATATATATATATATATATATATATATATATATATATATATATATATATATATATATATATATATATATCCTTGGGAAGATTTTAAGTTCCTGACAACCAAACAAGTTTCATATGAACATAACCTAGATATTAAATCAATCTTATTTGTCAAATTACACATGAGAATACAGATGTCTGTTTGATAGATGAACCAGGAAATGTTGCGTACACACAGGCGATAGTCAAACAACAGTATTAGTACATTAATAATCAGTCTATTATTGTTATTTATAATGAAATGAACAATGCTTACCATCCATTAAAATGTTGTTATATATTAGTTACTTTAGACCTATGAGATAATTTAAAAAAATCAATCTCAAGAAGAACTTTGAATAATGCTATATTCGAACGTCTTTAAACACACTTAAATTTAAATATTTCCAAATAAATATTACAGGTAGGTAGATATCTGCTGGTCATTTGATTTAACTGTAGAACCTAATCTACAACTTATAAGAAAGAACTTTAGCTGATTACCATCCTTAGATTTCTAAGTACAATATCAATATATTTGACCATATTACTTATAAAAGAATAATATGTAATGATCTACCAACTACTTCTTTATAATCGTCTTTTAGCAATAGAACGTTATTGTTCCTCTCCTCATTAACTGTAGCAAGTACAAAGTATTGACTGACTGCACTTGTGAGTCTGAATTTTTGCACTACATGACTTCTTGCAGTATGATAATAAGTGGTATTACTTTATTGACTTACAGTCGAATTCTACAACAGGATTATGAGTGGGAAAACAAATGTCTTTGTCAACGAACAACGTCTAAGTATGTATGAAATGTAAGCAATCTCAATGTGGCAGTTACTAGATGAATATTTTACTAAATTATACTGTTTGTTGTCGTAAATAGTTTTGAAAAGTATTCATTTCAATTAGTCGGTTACTTCATCATTTCTAAAGACAGGTGTTCATGAACTTCGTTTGCTATAAATTAAAACTAACTAATAGAGATGAGGGCATCTGTCTTTATATCTAAATATCATTGCAAGAAAATGAGGAAATTTAGGAATAAGAAGTTAATCGAAAAAAAATGGAAGAGATTACTTGTAAAACTAATTCATAATTATTACATAATGATTACTTGTAAAACAAATTGTGATAAACTGAAAGCTGAATTAATCTGCAATTGCTAAAATAGATGATTAGACTATTTATTGATAGAAAAGCAATAAGATAAACATTCTATGAATTTACTAGACCTTGATTCTATAACGACAGAAGGAATATCTATGTCAATAGGTTATATGTTGTTGAATCAATATTTAGCATACTGGTAACGATCTAGCATATTTGACGTCGTGTGCTTTAAAACTATTGGTAATAAGACTGATCAGTATGTCTACTGTTATACTGATTATATTTCATGATCAAATATGATTAATCAAGATTTTCGTCCCAGCTAGTCTTATTAATCATTATATTAAGTTAAAACTACATAGCTTCCTACTAATAAAGCAACTGACGTACATTCTTGATAACGCATCCCTATATGACTAGTGTGGTACTTCTCTCGTCTAATATTTAATTAAATTCTGCAAATAACTGAAATTCCTATTAATTATGAGGCTAGTCATAAATTTTAGGATTTTTTTGGATAAAGAAAAATTAATTAGTATCAGTTATATTCAACATTTCATGTCATTTATCTGTATTTGGTAATGATAATTTCTAAGTAGTGATATACAGCTTTCACAATTAATAACGACAATGCTTTAACAAAATTATGATATGCGTTTAATTTCGTGGTGGATTTAAAGTACGCAAAATTCATTGAAAATGAATCTAGATTAGTACATTTGAAGTGTGTTTAATTATAAAAATAATGTCACCAACAATTTAATGATTATATGTAATATAATAAAGTTTCTTCGCTGATATGTATATTTTTCAAATAAATCTGAAGAAGAATGTGAATGTTCATCTTATTTGAATATTCACTTATTTACTAAATTTAGTACACAGTTTAATATGCAGCTTAGCCGAGAGCAATAACAATCTTTTATCGAAAACGAAGCTGTTGACAACTTTTCACTTGAAATAACCAGTGTTGTGCTGACTTCTCTAAACAAAAACTTACTGATTCCTCTGGGTTTTTTTTAAATATTGACCAATGTGGTTCTAATCTGTTAAATATGATCATTTATTTATCTCTGTAGCTTATGAATTTAAAAGATCGTTGAAATGTTTTTGTTAAATGCTACTTTGAATTATTTTCTGAATTTAGGTTAATTTACAAATTCATTTTCCGTAGTTTCACACTTATCCAAGTCTTTGTACATCTGTATATTAACAAAAACAAAAATGGTTCATTTTGACTCTCATAGTTATATATATATATATATATATATATATATATATATATATATATATATATATATATATATATATATATATATATATATATATATAGTTATATATATAAAAGTTGGAGTTACTATTTCTAACCTTATATTAAGTAACTATCCATTACAGAGTACTTTTCGGACCAAAATTAAACAAATGTCCTGTGTTACCTGGTCATCAGTAGTTTGTGTCAAAAACTGAATTCATGGAGATTTATATGCATTGTGAATCGAGATGCCTGTATACTAGGTTTATTTAGTGTGATTCAATGTTTTGCGATAAGAGTAGTAAATTATTCAGTCTATTGTAAAGATAGCATAAAAACAGATTAAGTCATTTGAATACATTTTTATTTGGACATTATTTTATAAACGATGAAACAGATTATTTTTTTAAGTTTTATTCAGCTTCATCTAGTTAGTAACTGTTTAATTTAGTTTTTTTCTATCCATTCAGTTATCTTTTAACAAGAATAGTATTCAAAATATCACACGATACTTTAAATAGCTTCTTAATTGATTCTAAGTGTGATCAAGTATGCAAACAAAGGGAATGTTTATGGAATACATTTCTGAATAATTATCTAATGTATTCCCAATAGTTATGAACTCATTACGAAGAGTAATGGATATATAGGTTGTGAAATATGATTAAGAATATTTCGTCTCCATACACCAAAACATTTTCAATAAATTCGAGTTTCATATAATTTGTTCTCTAGATTAATTCCAGATATCAATAACACAGCAAACATTGTAAGATGAAATGATAGATGGACTGTTGTTACTGGTTGTTTGCTTTCACAAATAATTTATACGAAAATTCTACATCTTTCTTCCCATTGTAGGTTTGCTAACCCATTTACGTACTAGCCCTTTTTTCAAACTTTCATATTACATTGAAACATTACTTCCTCTTTCATCACAATTACTTCGATATAGCATTTTGTAATTGCTATAAAGCTTATAATCCCCTGTTTCATACTTCACTGTCTTTCACGCTGATCATATTTCCACATAAATTTAACTCCTATTTTCAAGCAAAGTAATTATAATTATTGTTTATCCGTAAACTAACTATTTTTTTTCATATGAAACCACATTCGTAAAACATTTGATTTAAAATTATGGGTGGAATTATAAAGGACTTAGAGAACATGAGATGAACAAAATTCGTTTCAGTCTGAAACATCTTTGTTCTTAGTTTACGAAATTTAGTCTTTCACAAAGTTTTACTTTTGATTTCGGCTATACCATTCACAGTGTAGAAGCTTAGGCTCAAGTTCTCAGCTGTCTATGATCGATCACATCATTAGGACAATAACTGACATTTTTGATTAAACGGATAATATGCTGTTCAATTATTGGATATTTTAATGAATTGAAAAAAATGTTTACTTTAGGGAGGTTATAATGTCTGTCTGTTTATCTATCTGTATGTATGTATGTTAATATGCACATGAAGTTTGAATGACTAAACAAGAAAGAAAATTGAGTATCATTGTTTCTTTATCTCCCTTCAAATGACCGTATACATGCACAAATATATAGTGCTGATAATGCTTGTCAATTCCATTTTTTAATATTCAATGTTCATGATTAGATATTGTGTTTTATTTAAATACGAATTCAGTTTGAAGCAGTTGATGAGAGCGCATGGAGTAAATAATCAATTCATATTGTTCTGAGTCGTGTCCTTCTTGCCTTATTCATATGTATAGAAAAAAACTAATTGTGTAATGTAATTAATGTATTGATGTTTATCAAAATGTAGATATAAGTAAGATGATTAAGGTGATTTCAGGGTAATTTTTTGCAGTTATTAGCGGGACATAGATTGGATTAAATCATGCTCAATGGACCCTTGCATTGGCGCACGATGATTGGCTAGTTCTTATCCAATCAGCGTTAGTCAATACTTAGTGAACACTAGAAATCTCATATGAAAACCATAAATATACTAACGTTTTCCCTATTGTGCTTCTTACTTCCATCTAACCTTGTTATTTGGAATATAATCTCTTTTCCTGTTCAAACGTGTTCTGATTTGGGGGACTTGTCGAGTGAACTGGTGTCCGAAAATATTAAGCAATAGGAGAAAATAGGAGAGAATTATAACACCAGTGTACATTTTAACAAAATAAATCACAGGTTTATGCAACTAATAAAAATGTACCAATATGTTTTTATATTCTTAAGATTTAGTTAAATTGAAATTGATATTAATTAATTCATGGATAAAATACACGAATTTTTTTAGAACAGAACTTTTAATAAAATTCAATGCTTGTTACATTTACTAATTAAGATTACAATATCAGCTATTGACCAAAACCTTATGTAACAAGAACTTTATCTTAGTAAACAAGATTTTTATTCGCTTTCAGAATGTTATTTTGACTTTTAATGAAAAGATCTGATATTAGTTCTTAGGAGTTAAAGTAACACTATTCATATTTCATAAAAATGTAATAATACTGATATGGTTACTGTTTTCACCGTTGAATTCAAGAGTCTAGTATTATTTGGACTTCCACGTTTATATTTATATATTGAATTATTTCCACTTATGTTTATAAAGCTATTATAACACTTTTCCTATTTAAATTATAGTGTAAGTTGTTTTGTAGGGTTACTGTACTGAAATTTATACCATCTGTTAAGAGGACTATATCTGTTGTATGAAATGTGTTTGCTTAAATATTTGTCTATTGGTTTCCTTGTTTTAATATTAGCTCAAGATAAACGTTCATTCTGGAATAACTGAACTTATTTATACTGACCTATGAAGTACTATTAAAACTAAAAATTATTTCTGATCAATGCTAAACCACTGAAGACAACATTTAAAGTTATTGTATAAAGTGTTTTTAAGAAACTTAGAACTTAATCAAATTAAAATGGAAGAATTGTATATCATTTAACAGTCATTCATCTCGTTTTATAATCACTCAATCTATCGAAAATATACTGTGCAACGTGAATCTGTTGAAAATTGATTCAAATACATATTCCATTAAATCAATTCTTTTAGTTCCTTATGGGTTTCGTACGATTAATTTTTGATTAATTACTATATTTTTTTTACTAAATATTAGTTATTGATAATTCAATAATGAAACCACTAACTGGTAAAATTTCCTAATTCAAACAAATAACCAGTGATAAATAACTTAATTTGCAAATAAATGTATTGAAGTGTTGTATTAATTTATTACTCCAACTAAGCAAACTTCTTTTCAAATCATATTGTAATAGTTTAATGCCACTATTATTTATACAGAAGCAAAATATCCTTTGACTATCAATTATGTCTAATAATGTTTTTTTTAAGAAAACAATAAATCGTTTTATTTTCATTAAAGCATTAGAAATTAATCACATCTTAAAATAGTGTATTACATTCTTATTGAATATCAGTATAAGTTTTTTTTATTCAAATGATATATGAAATAAGAATTTGTGTAAATTTTGTATGCTGAAAGGTTGTATTTGGTTCTTAAATGATACAATGTAAAACGTTTAGTTGGAGATACAACGCCTAAAATTATTTGTACTAAATAATTTTTTATTTAAGTTAGAAGGATTAAGTATAAATATATAAATGTAATAAATAAAATATTTTATTAGTGAAAATAACTTAAAAGAAAATAAAGGATTATCAGTATAGAGTTGTGGAGATAATTGAGTTTTTATTGAGACCATGAAGCGCCATTGAAAACCTTGAAGCACTTGATAGCTGTTTAGCTTTAGTGTGAGGACCCCTCAGTTGTTCCTTTTGGTCTCACACAAACTCTTAAGCTTTAGACCAGTGAGCCGGAATCCAATGGTGTTAATGTCTAACTTCAACCAATCCACAATAGTGTGCGACTGTCTTCCATTGTTCGTCCGGCTGTTCAGTACTCACAGGTTTCAAATAGTGGCCTAAAACTGATCGGTTCATATTCTTAGTAAAAAAAAAATAAAATTATTAGTATTCCTGTATTAAACCACTGGATAACTATCAACCTAATTTTCATTACATAAGCACTTTTATAAACTAACATATAGCTGTATAATTTCCTTTGATCTGATACTACCAATGATTTTTCAGACATAATATTCTGTAGCATCTTTCAGTTTTTACTAAAAGAAATCTATTTTTATTTTAATTTATAGAAAATTTTGAAAATACCACTTCATGCGTATGCCATCAGTTCATAAATAATGAAGTTTCTGCTAATCATAGATGTAGAAACTTTCAACATAATTCAACTGATTCAACTTCTTCAAATGCAATATCTGGGGATTCACCATGTTCTGATCTTTCTATTCCTAATTCATGTCAATTTTCTTGTACGTCAACAACAAAAGATATTCCACCAACAGCACCACGACGACCACCACCTGTTCCACCTCATTATTCCGTTACTCATCGACAGGATGGAGACAAGAATTTAGAAATAGATAAAAATGTAGTTTTGAATTAGTCTAATTTAATGATTATTTTGAGCTAACAATTTGTTGTTGTTAATAATAATATTAATAATGTAACAATGTTTGAGACTTAGTGTTACAACATAGCCTGACAAAATTGGATGAGGTAAGACAAGAGTTGATATCGTGACCTTGTAGGGTAAATTCAAAAAGGTTAACCACTGAACTACTGGTTCATAATTTATATTTATGTGATACTGTAATTAATTTTTACTCCATTATAACACTTCAAAGAATTGTTAATTTGTCTACCGTTGTTTGAAAAATGTTTTGATGTAGCCTCAAATATGATTTATTTTATTTAAACATGATTTCTTGTGCATTATTTTTCTATTACACGTGTTCTATAAAATCTTTTTGTGTGTAATTTTGTTATCAATAAACCCTATATGATTTACACCCTTGAGCAAATTAGGCTAAATGTCTCTAATATTATATCCGTCGGACTGAACTGTAATGCTCTACAACCGATTGATAATAACCAAAACTCTCTTTTTCTAGTTGTCCGATTGTACCACCTAAATGTTTATTAAAAGTCCCGTTTTTTATAATAATACATAACGACTTTTATTCAAAGAGAGACAGTTTCTTATAAAGAGCAAAGAAAAACCATCATTGGTCTGCACTTAACCTCAAACATACTTTATTGTTTTATGCTCTTTTAAGTGCTACAACTCATATTCATCAACTGGCACGAAACAAGTACGTGAGGAAAGCTTAGTATCTGGCCAGTTCTTTATTTTCAGTATGCAGGCGGTGGGAGTGTTTAATTTTACTGAAATTAATAGCCAATGTTAAAGGTTTTCAACGTTTGTCTAACTTAGACTGAGTTTTGACATTAATCAATCTCAAAAACATTCCCAACTTCCATACCGACAAGCATGATGTGATTACTAGTGAATGGCTTCAAAAAGAACTTTCCGAAGTTCTAGTAACGGCTGTAACAAATGGAGTTCAATCGTGCTGCATATGCAAAAGTTACCCACAAAAGACAATAAGAATTGGTTGTCTAATATAGAGGACTGATCAAAGTTAAACGTGGACAGGATTAAATCCCGGCCCAATCGTCTAGAGGTTAAGTTTTCGCGCGCAAGACCTGAATGTCCTCAGTTCGATCCTTAGTGGCTGGGGTGTGTGTAGTCACTGTTGAGGAGCTCCATACTAGAACGAAACAGCTATCCAGTGTTTCTAGGTTTTAGCGATTCTTTAGCGTACTTATTTAAGATTCAGATATGAAACTAGAATTCTTTTCTGAACAACGAAGAAAATTTTATTTCGTGATTATCAATACACTATTCAAATATTTTACCAGTTTAAATTTTCATACTAACTATCAATCTGTTGATATGGAATAATGAAAATGAGTTATAGAAATAAACATGGTTTTTTTTATCTGTCTGAATGGTACGATCAGTTTTTTAGTTAATCTTTTCGATGTGTAATTAAATTTTATCGTTATTATGAAATTTTAACTTGATGGTTAAAATTATTGACTTTTAATCACTTAGTGGAAGTTTGGGCAGCTAAGTAAGTTAAACAGACATAATACAAGTATCGTAGAAATAAAATAATATGAAGGTTTGCTTGATTATAGAGTTATTTACTTTTATCCATACCACTTTTTGAGCATAGTACTTTTAACTTATGATAACCTTTCATTTGAAAATAGATTTTCTGTCTAATCAGTTATGGAAGATAATCATAAATAAAACAATTGCTCTTGTACATGCATCACTTCAGCATACATAGTCATCTTTTTACTATATGAATATGTTTTGGTCAAGTTCAACTTCTATGGGTAGATTTTTTGGCAAATTCCTGGATGCATTTATACATTAAATTAGCTGAAGACAGATATGTATGTGAAACGTCATACACTTCATTATTTACTTTAAACAAAACAGTTTTTTATGAGACCATTTGTGGATAAATGGTTGATTTTGTATGAGCAGTTAAATTTAAAATGACATGTTTATGTTACAACACAAATATCTTCCGATTATTTGACCATTACTAGTGTAGTTTGTTTACACGATGTGTACAATGTATTATTCAGGCTTTAAAAATCGTAAAGATATTTTATTTTCCATATACTACAAAGATCAAAAGCTCTTCTCATTGCACCATAAAGATAAATGTAGATGTATAAATATTATTTGCAGCCTTGTTTAGTCTTAGTTTTTGTTAGTACTCTGTTTCACTAGAAAAAGATTTTATTTTATTAACATTAACAGGTATTTTTAATTTCTTCTGTCATTAACAGAATAATGAAGTTCTAACTACTGAACGAACAAAATCTGACTCGTATTTGGAACAGAAATCGCTATCTGGAAATGATATTTGTTTTGTCGATGCTAATGTAGATTCGGAACATGAATCAATATCCTTTCAGATTTTAAATCTTCACCACCGTTTTAAGGCTTCAAATGAATGTATTGACTGTGAATCCATCCGCAGTTATTCCAATATATTTTATAGCTCACTGCCATTAGATGAAATAAAAGAGCCAGAAAAACTAGATCGAAAGGAATCAGCTTTTCAAGTCATTGATCATGCTAATGACAATGATGAAAAATCTGATAAGAAAAGTACATGTGAAACAGATTTGTGCACAGAGCAGACATTCAATAATGCTTTGCTTGGAAGTAGTCTTGATGAAACGAGTAGATTCATAATCGAGGAGGAGCCTTACGGTGTGGAAGAAATCGACGTTTACGAATCAGAAAAAGTGTCTGATATTATATCTACTAATAGGACATGTCAGCCTGTCACTGAGATGGAGGTGAGTATATTAATTTGCAAACTAAATGTTCAAATGCTATTTCTCACACAAATTTGTAATTTATTCAGGATAAGTCATATTTCGTGAATACCTGTTTTTCAAAAAGTATAAAACTAATTTTAAACGACTCTCAGCTCTTCATATTATTCATAATTTACTGATAAAAATGAAACAAGTTGACTGGTTTTGGAGAAATGTGAATCTTTGTGATTTTTCAGATGTTTCTATCACAAAGACTATATACTTCTTCGTAAGTAATTTGTCAAATAATTCAGATTTCCATTATTATGTTATCTAAACAGGGACATAATCGTTCAGAAGTGTTATCAAACGTGTAAATTATTCAGCGTTGTCATAGAAACTAAATATGCTACAATAATAACAAATATGTAAATTGATGAAATAACATCTAAAGTTAAACATTTTGAAGTAAAATGTAACTTGTAATAGCATGAAAACCAGTGTTTGATGTTAAAAAAAACTAAAGCAAAAAGCGGTATTTAAAAAAGGAATTTTTAAGAATGTCGATTAAGTGTACGGCAAGATTGAATAAAAGATTGGATAAGATAATTTTGTCTAGAATTCTTTGTTTAAAAAGAACTCCTGAATTCACAAGTTCAAACAATAAATTTTTGGAACTAATGACTATCGAGTTAACAGTACTACTATTTAAAGATACAATCACATACAAATTCAAGAGTTTACACTATTATTTTATCAGTGATACATCGACTTTGGAAAATAACTTCGTTTATGTTATTTGTTAGAAGAAATACCTTACTTTACATGACTGAATAAAAATCACGCAATTAATGAAAGTGGAAATTTTTCAGATGACCTACAAGTGAATATTTATTATTTTGTATTAATATAAAAGCGTTTTTAGTAGTTGATAGGCATTAAGAATCAAGTTTAACAGCTGTTTCTTTTTTTCCTCTAATGTATTCGATAGAAGGCAGTTTTCGTTTTAATTATTTTTCTACTATTTTTTCTTTATAGTTGATTTTTATGTTTATTTATTATAGATTAGTTCACAAAATCATTTATCTTTAATAAGTTCAACTAATTGGCAAATATTTTGTTGTATTAGCGAAGCGGCATTTACGTCAAATATCACAGATTCATCATCAACTGGTCTGCAGATTTGCTTGGCTCAACCAGGTAGTTTTGTTTCAGTAAAATGGTATATTAATGTTTAGTTTATTGAGTGATTAAGAACTGAGAATAATTCTCAAAACAAAACAGATTTTAGAGCCGTTTTATGCTAAATCAAAGTGGTCGTAAATCACTTTTTTGGTTCACTCTGCTCCACGAATGACAAGTAATTATGACGAATACTTCCAGAAGTTTGCAAATATATACGAGACTCATAAACATGAAAATACAACGGCAGAGTTCTCAATTTTGTAAGGTTAAGAATTAGTTGAAAATAATTATGTATTCACGCTCACTAAAAAGACGACTATCTCGGAAACAAATGAATGTATGGTTCTATAAAAAGTTTCACACAGAAGCTGGGTTACCTGTAGCTAATCAACCAGTTTACTCATTAATATCTCCATGTTATAAGAAACGATGATGTCATCAGTAGCTTAAAAACAAGTGTCGATCGTATATACTGAGAATTGATCTTACCTAACCATGACTATTCATCACATATTAAATATTCGACGGTGAAGTCATTCGCTACTAAATCATACTTTCTTAATTAGTAAATGATAGCAAATAGCAGATGTAAATAGAGGTTAATTTTCATATTTTAGATGGGCAATGTGATAGGTCATAAGTATATTCGTTTAGTAACATAATAAAGTGACATAGAGCTCCATTGCTTTTAAAAGTCAGCTGTCTCTAACCGTTAAAGCATACATTTATAAGTTTTATTATTATGAAAACTCACACACCTACTTACTTACACCTGCTACCCCTCGTCGAGGAGCATAGGCCGCCTACCGGCATTCGCTATCCTACTCTGTCCTGAGTAATTCTTTCAAGTTGCTATTCATCCTTTTCATGTCTGTTTCCAGTTCCCAACTCAGTATGTTCTTTGGTCTTCTTTTTTCCGTTTCCTCTCACGATTCCAAGTTATCGCTTGCTTCGAAATGCAGTTTTTTGATTTCCTCAATTTATGTCCTATCTAATTCCAGCGTCTTTTTCTAATTTACTCTTTAGTCGGGAAATGGTTTGTTTTCTCCCACAGAAGACTGTTGCCGATGATATCAGGCAAATGAACATTCATTACCTTATTGTTTATAAATACTTGTAATTTTTTAATGATAGTTGTAGTAGTTCTCGAAGTTTCAGCTCCGCACAGTAGAACTGTCTCGATATTCGTTTTGAAAATTGTGATTTCGATGTCGACTGATAGTTGTTTTGAGTTCAATATATTCTTCAACTATAGGAATACTGTCCATACCTTGCCAATCCTTTGCTTTACGTCTGCACCGATCCTCCTTGTTCATCGATGATGCTGTCTAGATGAGTGTAATTCTTCCCCTCTTCCAGAGCTTCTTCATCCAGTGTGATTGATTCGGTGCTTTCAGTGTTGTATTTGAGGTTCTTGGTTTTTCCCTTGTGTATGTTGAGGCCTATTGCTTCACTAGTTGTCTTCACCTGCATTTGTTGATGTATATGGTATATAAGAGACAGGTCATCTGCGAAGTCCAAATCTTCTGGTTGATTCCGAGCTGTCCCTCGTATTCCGTGCTTCCCTTCAGATGTCGAGGTCTTCATAATCCAGTTGACTAACAGAAGTAAGAGAAAGGGAGAGATACAGCCGGCAGCCTTATTTGACACCGCTCCTTACTTGGAATGAGTTCGTCATCTGTCCTCCATACTTGACTTTGCAGTGTACTTCCTCGTATGAATTCCATATGATGTTGATGATTTTCTCAGGCACACCATAGTGTCGAAGAAGTTTCCATGATGTACTCCTGTCCAAACTGTCAAATGCTTTCTCATAATCAAGAATGTTGATGCATATTTACGAGTTCCATTCAATTGACTATTTAACGAAGATCTGTAGTGTGGCTATTTCGTCTGTGCACGGTCGGTCTTCACGAAATCCAGCCTGTTGACCTTGAAGTTCGGCGTCTATTGAGTCTCTCATCTGGTTCAGTAACACTGTTGAAAAAGTTTCCCGGCACCGATAGTAGCATGATTCCTCTGTAGTTCTCATAAGTGTAGAAATCTTTCTTTGGTATCTTGATAAGATATCCTTCTTTCCAGTCTGTCAGTACTCGTTCTTCTTCACTAATCTTCCTGAATAAAGCGTGCAGTATCTTTGAAGTCGTTTCCATGTCTGATTTCACTGTTTCCAGTGGTACAATGTCAGTTCCTTCTGCTTTCCCACTCTACGTTTGTCTGATGACTAACCCTATTTCTTCGATCGTTGATGGAGTGACATATATAGAACGGTCTGTGTGTGCTGCTTTTGATGTCCAGTGAATTCGTTGGAGCCAATTTACTCAAGAGTTCCTCGAAGTGTTCTGCTTATCTGTTCCTCTGTTCTTGAATCTCAGTGACTGGTTTGCCTTATTTGTCTTTGGATGGTCCCTCTGGTTTACAATGTTTCCCTTCTAGTTTTTTTGTTGTATCACATGGTTGTGATGCAAATATGACAATTCGTTCCTCTATAGTGTGATCCGCTGAGGTCTATGTTGCTTTGTGTATGCGTTTGTTTGGGAATATTGTGTCGCTTATAAGCATTTTCTTAAATGCACATAAATTTTGGAATCTATCACAATTCTCGTTCCTCTCTCCTGGTCCATGTCGTCCCATGATATCTTCATATTCGGTGTTGTCCATTCCGACTTAGATGTTTAGATCTCCCATAAGGACGGTCAGATCTTTTACTTGGTACTTCACTATAGTCGAGTGCAGCCTTTCGTAGGACTGATCTTTATCATTGACATTGCTATTATTAGTGTGTGCATAACATTGGATAATATTCCTTGTAATTTCCTCGTTCTTTGTTTTGAATGATGCTTTGATGATCCTGGATCTACAAGATCCCCACCCAACAAGTGCATTTCGTGCTTCTTTGGACAGCATCAGAGCAACTTCCTGAGTGTGTGGAGCATTTTCCTCTTCGTGACAAGAGTACATCAGCATCTCTCCTGTACCTAACCTTTTCTGTCCAGCTTGGGTTCAACGGGTTTCACTTATTCTGAACATCACCAGGTTTTGTCTTCTCGTTTCCGTAGCTATTTGATTGGTCCTTCCGGTATTCCACATTGTTCGAACATTTCACGTATTTTATTAAATTTTACTCTGTTGTTAGAAGGGGCATCGGCCATGTGACTTCCGGAGAACCTCCACTTTCACCAAGAGTTGTCGTAATTCTTCTGAATGATGATCCTTCAACTCTGAGGGCAGAGATTAAGTGGTTTAATCTTCTTATTCCGTTTAGCGTTTTTGGCAAGGTTGTTTTCTACGGGATGGAGTTGCTGATCACATGCTCAACACTCCTTGTTTATCCGGGCCTGGGACCGATATTAATCCTAGAAGAGCTACAGACGAAGTTATTATAATAAAAAAGTGGATGTTTAATACGACTTGGTGTTCAGTGAAAAAATACATAAATCCCATTTATCTAGATTTTTCCCTAGTCACTATGAAGAACGTTTTGGTAATATTTCTAGCATGCGTTTATTCAGAAGCTACCTTGCGTTAAAAATATATACTAATAAGTTCTTATTAAGTTCAGCCGCCATGAAAATTTATATCTGAACGGATATACCATAATGCCTGATATCTTTTATATCATGAATTCACATTAACTAGACAGATATTGAGAAACTGGAAAAGGACAAATAGGTCGTTTGTTTAGGATTCCAGACTCCTAAATAGTACACTTCCACGACTCAGTATTACATAGAACCATTGGCTTTTGTGAAACAAAAGCCTTTCAAACATGGAGTTAAAGTGTAAAAACATTTTCTTCATAAAACTCGTAATAACAAACATTCAACCTACTAGAGAAATAATTATACATGTATGTTATTCATTCCTACCCCAATGTTCCAGTCCATCAAATGTAAAACTAAACTATATGAGTTACACGAAATGGTTAAATGTTGCCTAACTTCGTTCATCTCTTTCTACTCTGTTCTCCCTTTCTCTTCCATTAAAATTATTCCCTATGATGAATATAGTAAACCAATATCATAGAGATGGTGGATTTTATTGTTTATTACCCAGAGGAAAAAAGATTTTTGTTGTTACATACTAACCTAAAACATGCAAAAACTATCAATAATTCCTGATTAAATGACTGAAATATACACATCAATCAATAAAGAATAACTAATTTTAGGTCGTTAATTTAACACTACCAATTTCAATGTATATTTATCCCATTTTTAGTGTGATTATATTCACTGTAATTAATGTTATGGTGTTTGTATTGCTGCTAAATCAGATCACATTTAATTAAAACAAGATTGATTTCATTGATTTGTAATTCTTACCATATTTTACCTTCATAAATAACTAAAAAACATTTATGTAATTAAAGTTGATAATCCCATGTAAACTAATTCTTTTGACTACTTGATGTTGACGATAGAATCAAATGTCTTCCTGATATAATAATAGCTAGGTTGAATTATCCTTGAAAGTAACTGCGTTAGCAACTATATTTGAAGTAGACAGTTGGTAAAATTTTCGTAATAAGTTGGCAAGAACTTCATAACAATGTTTCAATTTTTAAGTAAATAGAAATAGCATTACTCTCATATCGATACAAAATATTAGCACTAGGTTCCTTTTAAGTGGCTTATTTAGTATTTAATTTTTGACTTAGTCGGTTAAAATTTAATCAATGAAGTGTAATTATATGCTAGTGGATAGTTTATCATACTAAGATGTTATACACCACAGTTGACTTCTCAGAAAACCTATTTAAAACACTTTGTCGCAATGTTTTTGATTTTATTTCTGAAATGCTACTTTTGAAAATTCAAGAATCGTTTGATATATTGAGTGTATTACGTTGTACACTTACTGAATACTTCTATCACATACTAGAGTTTAATCATATGCAAGAAACATAAATTGTTGAATGAAGTATCTTGTTCCAGTTTTAAAGATGTTTGACGCTAACACTTTTTGCTTATACCAGTAACTGTGATCACAGTTTTACCACATTTGGAAAACTAGCGATGAATGAACACTAAAAGGTGACCTTACTTCTTAATATTACTGTCAAAAAAATATATATTAATGATTCAACTTGCAGATAAGATTTATTTAAAGCTAGGAACAAGCAAACACTTAAATTATAGACCCATTTTTTATTAGCTACCACCCATTCCTTAGTTTTAATTGTCATCCAATATCTGAAGGGATGATAGTGTTAAGTTCATCTCTGAAGATTTATGATTCGATAAAACACTTGTTCATCTAAGCTCAGTGGATGTATTTAAAAAGATGATCAATTGTTGTTCCTTCGGGTTATTCATGACAGATTGGATTTGACTGGTTGCATTCTTCCATAAAAATGATCATTTTTTGAGCATGTACTTTTTCATACACTATGGTTTATGATCAGGTATACCCATTGGTTTACCAGATTATTGCACAATCTTTCAAGTTATGTCTGATTTCAAATTAATGCATTATATCAGATGATCCACTCACAGTTTATTAGTAAAAGATGAACCATGAACATATATATTAAAGCTCTCTTATTTTACATTAAAAATTGACATGTACAAGATAACCTCGGTTAGAAAACTCTACATTTCATGTACAAAGCGATTAAAACTAACTAATTTCAATATAATTGGTATTTTATCAGGATTATAATATTCATTATTATGAGTACAAAGATATGGTTTTAGTTTATGGAAAGGGGAATGATAATTTTTTACTCACTACGTTTTATATTTTTCACTAAAACCATTATCTACTACATACAGATTTTGATTCGGTACTAATTTCTTGCAATTTTTATTCTTAATGCCAAGTAAATATTATTTTTGACTTGTCAAAGGGTTTAAGACATCGATTTTGATTCAGGGAAACTATTATCGATCTGAATTCAATGTTTCTTGGTATGTTTATCTCGCCTGTCATTTAGGGATTAATTCGTATGTCTATATACAGCTTATTCATTCTTGAAATATAAATTCTATCCCCTATTGTCTAAATCCACATGAATACACATAATAACGATACAATTAAAGTAAAACTAATTGAAATACTAAATTCAGTACTCAACTTATATATAAAGTCGCACTTTCGCAGACATAGATGTACAGATAAAAATCGATCAGTTCGATTAATAGAAATGATTATCGATGAGTATATTTTAGTCAACTAATTATTTATTTATTAGAGGGGTTTGTATAGGGTTCTATAATAATTTACTAGTTTTTCTGACCTCAAGTCTTTGTTACTTGATAATAATGAATTACAATGGCTAAGAAAGATGGGAATTTATTCAATGAATATGTTTCTATAATTTTCAAATAGTAAGAAAGAAAATAAAATTGAGTCAAGTGGAAAAATTTATTTGATGAACACTAATGGGTCTTCATATTGCTCTTACTATTAAACATTACTAAAATGTAACGGTCTTTAGGGCTCTGAAAAGTATTAGGATTTACTTTATCGGGCATAAGATTGTTTAAGAGGGTTTTTTCAACATACAAACAACTATTCTGCGAAACGTCCTGTATATCAATGAAAGTTGATAGATAATTAATTTCGTGTAGTTATTAAGAGATCCCCGAGGAAATTAATAGGAGGCAATTCGCTCAACTTTTACTGATTAAATATACTGAGTTAGAATAAAGTATAAAAAACGATCGCAATAAAATAACACATGGAAATTAAATTTGTTGCCCAGAGGTTTCTATACTAAGGGAAAACAAAGTACCTTTATTCAATTTTCCAAATCAAATAAAACAAAAGAACACAGTATTTTATACTTGAGCACTTCATTGTGAAGAAGAGAGTATAAATTGAGAAGCTTTAACATCTGTTAAAGAGGAAATTTATTTATGAAGGTAAGTTTCAAGTTGCTGAAATGTACATATGAGCACGTGGACGTCATGGATAAATAAGTAGATTAGAAAACTAAATTAGTTAATGAAGAATGAACAATTTAAACTAGTCACCAATTATTCTTGCCTAAAGGAAAGGGGAATCCATTCAATAACATATAACTAACTGATATTCTGATATATTTTCAATTTTTGCAATACTAAGTGAAAAACTCTTTCGCGTCCTATGCATTGAGAAAGATTGTTAAAATATTCTGTTAGTCAACAAGTAATTGCCAATGAAGCTGCCTGTATTGTGTTACGCTTATTGACCATCTAAATTTATTAAATTGAAATATTACATGGGGAAGTTGGGCTTTGAAGGAACTCCAAAAAGCTTTTGTGATTATCAGCAAAAAATTTATAACTCATGTACACATTCAATTCCATAAACAAATATATTTTTATTCGTTATGCTTTTGTAATCTTCTGAAAAAAAGATTTAACAGTAGTGAGGTGAACTATTCTGTTTACAAGGAAATAACGGATATACGACTAAACAAGCATAAAACTGCTGTTTAATTTTATATGTTACTTATGTGTTTATTGTCACGTTGCAAAAAAACACTTTGAGTATTTATAATAAAAAATTGCCTTAAGTGTTCTTACGATGAAAAATTAGACAAAAATTCGTTTAATTTCTGTCAAATAAAATATACTATCTAATCTTCAAAACAATGTCAGTGTAATGCTTCTGTGTGTGAACACAAGATGGTTTGCTAGCTTGGATTATATTTGCCTTTAGTTGCATTGACAATACAACAATAAATTACGTAACTTAAATAGCTTTGTATACCTATGAGCAAAGTTAGAAATCTCAGAAATGTTTTCAATATTGTCGGTTTTAAATTTTATTTACTTAGAGTTAGAGAAAACTTTTCTTGCTGACATCTAAATACCAAATAACCATATTGTTTATATCCGTGTTTCCAGCTTGCTGATTCTTATGTTTTGAGAGACTAAGTCCGGAAAATAGATCTCATATGTAATTATTTTAGTCGTTGTTGGTCTCCAAACTTATAAGGTCATTGTTACAGTATACTTTCACTTACTGTGGATGTCAATAACTTTAAAAGTTATATAAATTCCCCAGCGAATCCTCGACAAAGCCATTCCTTTTGGAGTAACATTAAGACCCTTGGCTGTAGAATAATCTTACTACAGGTCAGCTTATCTCTGCCTTATTTCATGTCAAGAATTATTTGTATGATTTATTGAAGTTATTTATTTATTGAAATTCTAACAAGTAACATTTATTAATACTTTTGTGTTATAACTTTGCCTACTTACTACGAATTAAGTACTATAAACAGTAATTTCCATTGCAAATCAGGTTATGTGTTAAATAGTCAGGTTCGGTTAGTTTTGGATATTAAAAAAAATAGTCATAGTCGAAGATAGGTTTAATATAATCCGACAAATCCATGAAAACTCTCCGAGCAGTTAAATTGTATTTGTTTGGATTATCTATTTATACACTTTGACACAGTGATGGGGAAAACGTGTGGTAACTTAATCGTTCCACATGTCATATTATTAACATTCCTATGAGAAGCAAATGCTATTGTGCATTATCGAATGTGCATTAGCTGTTTTCAGTACTTTCATGTATAAGCAGGCTTACTTAATTATATCTGTAACTTATAATTTTGATATTAAACATTCTTATGTTGATTATGCAGAATTGGATGAAGATACTCATCTAACTGAATCAATACAAGCTGATCAAAACGCGTCACATACTCCCGAAGCTACCCAAAAGCCTATATTTCCTGATAACAGTTCAAATGTTTCACAATCAACTTCATCCATTGAACTGAAAAGCATATCTGAAATGTTATCAAATGACGAAAACATAACCACTACCTCTGAACTCCAAACGGAATCAGTTGGTCCACAAAGAGGCCGTACTATTACAAGATGCAATGTTATTCAAAGTAGAACAAAGCGCGTGAGTTCTATGGACATATGCTATGTTAATTATAATTACTAAAATTATTACTTGTAATATTTTCAAATAATATGTCATTAAGAAGTAGCGTTTTCTGAATTGACCAGATCACTCATTCTACTTACTTTCATGAATAAATAGTTAAAATCATTTTTATAGTTAAAATTTAAAATCATTTTTCTCTTTCTCCCATGTTTATTTTTGAATAGTTAAGAGGATAGGATAATATTTGTTATAATGTTTATTATCACAAGAGAATTAATCACATAAAGTTGATCTTACTTAACTACCGGATAACTTTTATTATGTTTAAGAATATTGAATAGATTAAGCTGAATCAATTGATTATGATGAAAATTCTTTTCTTTAAGTATTTCATTGATTTATATTCTAATCATTCTTTATAACAAATAAAACTGAACGAATAAAGTATAAAAATATTTGAAATGATATTTTGAATGATTTACTTAAGTATTAAAAAAAAACGTTTGTTTGTTTTACTAAAATATCTATATGACTAAAAATAATACACTATGAAACGTGAGACAACAGTGTTAGATTTTTTTATGGTTCAAAATAGATTTATAGCTATTTGAATTATATATAACATTATGCTGAAGTTGAAAAAAAAAATAATCCTTTTCACAGATTGAAATCATGAGTCAGTTGAAGCTAGACCACCATTGAAAACCTGGAAGCATTGGACGGCCGTTTCTTCCTAGTGTGGGATTCCTCAGCAGTGCGCATCCACGATCCCGCTCCAAAAAACACATTCTGATAATAATAATCACCTGCTCACTAGTGACTGACTTCAAGAGATACTCCTGGAGTTCTAGTGAGAAGTCGTTACCAGTGAAGTTCAACCAGGTCTGTTGTGAGATAGGAACTCACTGAAGACAACGATGTACTGTAGCGCAACTTCGTGAATCGGTTGAAGTTAGACATTAACACCATTGGATGCCGGCTCAGTGGTCTAATGGTTAAGTGCTCGCACGCGAAGCTAGTAGGTGCTGGGTTCGAATCCCGCGGGGTGCCCCGTCGTGGATGCGCACTGCTGAGGAGTCCCATGCTAGGACGAAACGGCCGTCCAGTGCTTCCAGGTTTTCAATGGTGGTTTAGCTTCAACTGACTCATGATTTCAATTTGTGAAAATTTCTAAAATCTCCACAAAACACATTCTGATAATAATAATCCTTTTAAAAATTGAATTAAACTAAGTTCTGAAATGTTGATGGGAATAACTGATGACCTTTCTATGTAAGTCAGTTCAGGTCATTTCCAAATATATTTGAATAAATAAATAAGAAAAAAGTAATCGATAGTCATGCGTTTAGTGTAATGGATTTTTCACAAATCATCTATAACAATAGCAGTTTTTTTGTCTGACTTCATCTAATGATTAGAACGACTCATTTTTGTTAAGCATTTGTTCGATAAAGATAATGTGTACTTAACACTTGAGATCAGTTAATAAATTGTGAACTGACCTCTCGTTTTACCTCCCTGAATCCGTTTCCATCATACTCTTATACCCAAATAGTTAAATACTATTAATGTTTTCAATACCTACATCGGTCAGTTAAGATTTGAAAAACCATTCACTACTCTATTTCTTGAAACTAGAGCTCCTTTCTTAGCCTCTGATTACCCACCTTTTTACCTTCAGTAATTGCAAACGATTTCCTTTTCAATCGCCCCATTACCGTTCGCTTTAAAAGCCATCACGTTATCCACCTAGTTATTGAGTGAACAAAATACGGAATAGAACTGGATGAAAGTGAACTGATTTTAAATCTGATCTTCTCGGACGCATTCGAAGGTTAGGTTTGTGAACAAGAATTCCGATTGCTTCAACAAGATACAACAGATGAACTTGTAAACCATATGATAAATTTGATGGAATATGGTTCTCTGTTTGTTTCTCTTAGTAAATGTCAAAATAGGAATTTTTGTAGTAAACTGGATTAGTAATCAACAGTGGTTAGCGATCTGGCAAGTTATTACGCGATTTGTTTTAATACTTTTTGAGCCAACTACTGCATTAATTATAGAGCTGACTAGAAACAGCTAGAAAACAAGATGTTTTAACATGATATAGGCATTTTCAATCTGTTGTGACTCCCTATGCTAAATCACAGAATTTTGATTTTTAAACAAAATTTATTATGTGTATTTATGAATCAAATTATTTGATCATGGTTGGTATTTTTTAATTCTTTGTTTTCATTACTTATTATTATAATAAATAGATAAATATCTGAAATCTTTCAAAACATTTCAATCACAAATAAAGATGAAAAAGTCAGTTGTCAACAAAATGGAAGTTAATACTTTATATCTTTATCTTGTATTTTGTTCTTCACAATCTTAATAATGATAAGTAGGAATGTTATTAAAGTAAATTCAAGTCTTAAAATTGTAGTAAATCCTGAATAAACATATTGTGTGATTTTTTTTGCGATCTAAATTGTCTTCTACTAACCTCAGGTCCCTTTTTATTAATTCATTTAAAAATACACCAATAATAGTAATAATCAGTAAGTGTCGGATACAATCTCTTATTATCCTACTTTAAATTAGTATCATTTACGTAACAATTGTTGATACCAATACACAGACTAAATTAAACGTCATTCATTTACTAACAAATTGTTATTAGTTTCGTCAATTACAATGATAACATGAAAAATGCATTAAGTATTTACTTTAATGTAATTAAAAGATCTTTTCTTTTTATTAACATACATTCATTCATACATAGTTACAAATCATTTTTCTTTCATTTTCTTTTGTTTCAACATTACATTCTACGTTGATTATTGTTTTATGAATAATAATGAATTCATTAAAATACTATAGACAGTTTATTGAACTAATTCTAAGCATTTTACTAAAATATTGTAAGGTTCATCTTAAAAAAAAAAGAGCACATAAGCTACATTTACAAGATTTAATGCTTATTTAATATAGGTGAGTATGATTAATGTGAAGATCTATGAAATGTAATGAATTAACTAATTGAATAATGTAATTAATATAAAATCAGTGTTGTATTGTTTAATGAAAAGTTTCATACGTGTTATATTTCTGTTAAGAGTAATAATAGAGTATAATACATTATAATGACGAGTAATTTTAAAAGGAACAAATTGATCATTAACATGCTTTATTTTATTATTTCAGTCCTAAATTAATTGCTTTGCATAAATGTACAGTTCATTATTTACATTGATGAATACATTTAACAATTATTTTCATTTAAAAATTATGATATAATCTGAATAATTTGAATAATCCAGGCCGTTTAGTCCTATTGTGGGACTCCTCAACAGTGCGCATCCACGTCCAGTACTTCCAGGTTTTCCATGATGGTCTAGCTTCAATTGACTGATGATCTTAACTGTTGAAATTACTACAATCTCCACAAAACCCCTTCTGATACGAATAACTATTTGTTTAAAAGTTGATTTGTTAATACTCAAATAACCTTTCTCTTAAATTGCTGCTTTTAACCACTTCATATACGAACAATAATCACTAAGTATGCTTATTCACCTACCTATAGAGTCATTCTTCCCTTCATTTTCATATAAAATCCAGAGTGTGTTTTAATGATGGAACAAAAGGCGTTTTAAAATTCAATATCATATCACTTTTACGGTCACCTTGAACAGCATTATTTGTGTTAGCACAGTTGAAAATGATTTTGCTTTTATACTTAGCGCTGAACTATTTCTAGGTTGAGGTATACTTGAATATCAGTCCATTAGAAAAATCTTATATAAAACTTAAATAATTCGTATACTTTGGCGAAAATCTATATTCCGTATGCTAAATTGATTGATTAATTAGTTGTCAGCTGTTTCATGTTCAGTGGTGATCGGATTCTATCGATCAAGTTGCAATGTGGTTACTAGTCCTAATGATTTGACATCTCGTGCACCATAGTGAGATGCTATGTAGATGGAAGTGGTGGACTAGAAGCCGTGAACCTACTATCAACGCGCATCTATAACTTTGATGAAACCTATGTTTCCTCTGGGATTCAGACTCGCATCAAGAAGCTGAAAAGTCTCTTATATTACTAATGAGTTATTCAGACAACAACTGACCTCCTGTAGGATAGAAACATTTTCATTAACTTGATAACTGAGTAGGGTAAATGAATCCCTAAACAAAAATTCCATTAGTAATCGAATTTTCTTAAACATGAATTAAATAACACTCTATGTATCAATACGATAATTTATCACTGGGTTCATGCATAAATATATACTGTGTTGTGCATCGTTTAAGAAATTACCGATTGTATAGTTTTCATTCAATTATAAGTACGTTAAAAATGTATAAATAAATACAGAAGTTGTTTTATTACAGATCAGTTTTACACAACGTTTGTAATAATTGTACTAGACAGTAAGTTATGCATTTGAAAGTTGAATACATATGATCTTTTCAAATCAGTTGCTATCACTATTTGATAAAGGTTTCATATGAATTAAAATAGTCTCTAAAATGTCAGTGTGAAAATAAAATTACGTGGCTGGAGCATACGCAACTGTTAATAAGTTTAATTTAAAAAGCTTGATCTTTAAGTATTTCCCATGAATTTTGCTTTCTAAGACGAGGTGATCAAAAAATATCTGTAAGAATTCAAGTAGAAATCTGTTAGTCAAAACCTAACGGTTGTTGAAAAGTAATTTACCCTAGAATCTTATTTCACCCAAGTCGTCTAATTTTAAATTGAAATTCCGTGAATTCATGAGTTTAAATTAATAGTGTACTGGAAAAGTTCTTTATTGATATATCTTTCCAGCTAAAGTGATATTTTTCTTTAAACAACTGCAGATATTTATTTACTTAGTTTATCTAACAATTATTATTTATATTAATTGTTTTTCACATTTTGAATTAACGGCAATTATAAATCATTCATACAATTTATATTGAAACACATTTTCTGTAGGATCTTAGCAGATTTTACTGAATAATTTGCTTTCTGTCTTATATTCTTGCGTTTCCCATACTAAACTTGTACTTTATGTATCTAATGTAAATTGAGAGATGCAATAACACATTTTCATGTAATATTTTCAATTATATTTACAAATCAAGCAAGTATTTGGTTTGTAAGGACTTTATGCACTTTTTATCGTCATTTAGTCTGCAGTTCACTCAGGAAGACAGTCAGCAGCGAGCTTGAAGAACTCTCCTAAACTTCTGGCTATCAACAAAAATCTGGAACCCTCAATTACTCCCAGTGACACAAGCTTTCCAGATGATGGGACCGAGTTTCAAAACCCTAATCCCCCAGTTTGTCTAGTTTCTCGGCATTCCCCAAGTTGTCGTAGCAGAATTCGTATGCGTGATGAACAAATTATTGCTAGGTTAAGGACAATTGTTAGTCGGGGTAAACCGTCAGAGAAATATGAAACCCTTGGACGTATTGGTCATGGGTACGTTATTCAGTAGAATTCTATTTCTTTATTTTCAGAAATATTGTTCTGCGATTACATCACTTGTTAGCGAAAATTCACTCAAGTAATCGTAATAAAAGCTAACACCATATATGCTTCTGTATGGCTGTGGGTCCAGAATTTAAGTGAAAAGTTTTTTGTAGGCTCAAAACTCCTCATGTAATATTTGTATCCATTTCAGCACTATCAACTGAGTCCTTTTAAGATTTTCGTAAACATCATAGAATGAAATATACTTACTTTAAAATGTCATGAAAATAGCTTTTTATCCATGAATTTTGATATTCTGTCATTACTATGGACAATAAGTCATATCTAAAAATGAACCAACACGTTGGCACTTCTATTATCTTAATAATAAAAAGTGTCATTTTCCGGGTTCACATGTTGACTTTTTATTCAATGACTAAACAAATTGAAATACACTACAGGTTTACGAAATTTTAATTATGAAAACTGTCATATTAAGTATAAGATGTTTTAAGGAATTCACTGGAAAACTATCTATCTAAAAATCATACTACAAATAAAATCCATTTCAAATATCAAGAACATTTCCGGAATGCTTAGCCATCAAACCAATGTGAAGTTTTGGTTCATCCGCTAAACAAAAAATCATGTGATTCTGAATATATTATTGTTATATCTAGAACTTGAATTTTCTCTGTACCACATAAAACTTGAGCATTCGAACATATGATCCCCTCAATTCACAAGTTAGAATACAGAAGACGATTGAAAAAGAATTGTATACCAACTAGTGTCAAATACGGTACAAAACACTCGGGTATTTATAGTTTTTAGTAAAAAGGAATTCATCACTACGATTATCCAGTTTGCATGCAGTGATTTTCAGCATATGTTCAGTCGCGAAGCTACACGTTGGGGTTTCGGAATGTTCCTCCAAACGATGGTTGAATGGGACATATTTAAATCTTTCAGAGCTTGCTTGAGTTCACCGGGATCCGTCCCCACATTTAGTATCACAAATACTGTTGTAGACCAAAGTAATGAAAATCATAATGGAAGATTATTACATGAAGTATTTTTATCATTCTTTTAGCTTTTATTCTCATTTCATACTGATTAACACCTGTCACACCAATTTTATTGTACACTTAAGTCTTATTGATATATATGGTGTGAGATTCACTCAGATATGCTATGTGATTCTTCGATTGTTCTTGGTTTATTTCATTCTGTCCTGCGAAAACAATACTTAAAGAAATTTGACGAAAACACTGTTTTCGGTTGATTATTTCTTACATACAACTAACATCTACCTGACATGGTTAATCATGTTCTGCTTTCGAGTCAGAAGATTTAGATGATAAGTTCGAATGATTTATTGAACTTACCTCAAGTAGTGGATAGCTTATAAACTATCATGGGAATACAACTATATTTTTAAGACCTCACATGAATTGAGTATCCTGAAATCGTCCTTAATTACGGTCGATTGTTGAAAAGAAAATCCAATTATCTGCTTACAATTCGACTTTTGTTCTTCAAAATAAAATAGATTTTAATTTATAAAAGAAGAACACACCTAATTATGTAAATGACACTGAGGACTAAAAATAAGTTAATTATGTTGTCCTTCTGTTTAAATTTTAAGATCATCTTTTTATCCCCTTTACGTTTAAGATAGTTGTTGTACTTTCATTATCACAATTCATACCTACCGATAATGTTTAGAGCTTCGGGTGTTGTTTATATCGGTCGAGAACTTCAGTCTGGATGTCGTGTAGCTATTAAACAGATGAGTCTACGACAACAACCTAGAAAAGAATTAATCCTCAACGAAATTTTGGTTATGAGAACATATCGAAATCCAAATGTAGTCAATTACTTAGATAGTTATTTAGTAAGTTCTCTTGTACCATCATCTATTGTTTTTTTTCACTTACCACTCACCCCATTGTTCCTATATCTTACCTCGTTCAAATTACTTCTGACGGTGTAAAATACTTGACTGAATATTCAGTCTGATTGATAATAACATTTTTGTTACTATCACTTTATATTACTTATGTTGTCTATAAATTTTGATTCCGTTATTTCATTTGACCTACATACTGATTTAAGCGTACATCATGTGCAAATGTTTTCAACATTTGCAAACGCTCTCATCAAACACAAACTGCTGAAAACCACCGAATATACAAAGATCCAAAATAGCACGAGCAAAACAGTAAACTTTGCTTAAAACCAAAGTTAATCAAGCTATTAATGTTATTTACCGTAACTAAGATTATAAAAAATGTTACTTATATGTCATTAGTAAGTTATAACTTTTAGCAAACTGAATGGTTAACCAACTAATCACGTGGTGTTAAAACATTAATGATGTGAATGTATCATATTTTTTAATATTTTCACTTTATTCAGTTATCGAAACATACTTAATCAATTTATCACACGAATTCCGTGTATTCTATGTTTTCATTAAGAGTTTCCGTGATGTATATTAAATGTATTGGGAACACCAACTACACTACATCAAGATGGAAAGACTTTATTAATCACTTGTTCTGGCTGAATTGTGGTGATATATTTTATGAATTCAATGATTTAAGTGCTCTTAAAGATTGACGTTGCACTAAAAATTGTTTCGGTATCACAATGAGATTGATAACATTTTGATGATTGTCATTATATGCAGGTAGATGCATCAACATTTTATTACTTATCCGGCTAATCTTGTCATATCTTGATAAGATTTAGGTAAAGAATAGTTCGTCCGCGTTATATAAATTCCTGAAAATTTTATTTATTCTGTTATGACTTATGTCCGGCTTTTACCACGTGACTTATCCAACAATCAAAATACGACTTATACAATCGTAGCACTGTGCTAAAACCAATAACGTTCGACCAGTATGAGCAGCCTAGCGTCTTATTTGGTCCTATATCTGCCTAGCCCGTCCACTTGAGTCCAGAACACCAATGCCAGCTTCCAATATGAGAATCATATATTTCAAACATACTGTGTTTATATATCAAACAAACAGGCCGCATCGCATCATAGGAAATAATATTTGTACACAATAAAGCCAAAAAGTGGCTGTGAACGTGGGAGGCAGTAGTTAATAAACTGAACATAGCTTAAGAACAGTAAATCGTACAATAATAAATTATAGATCAAAATAAAGCTTATAATAAGAGAAATATAAATATACATCATCTAATTATTGAATAGTTATATCATAAGAATATTTATAGAATATTAGTCCATTAATAGTCCTTGGAAGTTACCCGTAATTTAATATTCACTGGGATATAACATATTCAACAAAATTAAAGTTTACAATTTACTCTTAACTTAATTCCTAGCTAGGAGATGAATTATGGGTCGTGATGGAATATTTAGATGGTGGTTCATTAACTGATGTCATTACAGAAACATGTATGAATGAATCACATATTGCTACAGTTTGTCGTGAAGTAAGTCCTCTATAAATTTGTACTTTCCCATTTATTTATCCCTTAATGCTAAAAACTAATGTCATTTGTCAATATTTCAAATAACTACTGTGTTTCCACTTGTTAACTGTCAAGTCCAAGTATAAAAATGAAACTAAAACAAATTTGGACAGCTGTTTTTGGTTAGCTTTAAGAATTGGTAACATAATACATTCAATATCTTATAAATTACAGTCAGCTCACAGTGGAGATACCTTTTTTAAATAATAAATTTCAGAAATATGAACTGAGACCTCTTCATTGAGAATTTCCCGTCTAGGTGAAACATGGATGACGTTTTAATAATATACAGTAAGCATTTTAATCTACTTTAATTCTTAGATGGAATTAATGATATGCAAAATAATTTCATACTAACTTATGAAAAAGAAAATAGTATATTTCTGAGTTAAATTGATGTTGACTCAATAAGATGGTCAAGTTATGATGGACCCATTTCAGTAGGACATTGTATTTTCATTTATATGTATAAGTGATGTGCCACTTCATGAGAATCCAGCGTTATTAAAATGTCGATATAATCCATTATATTAAGAGTTTTAACTTAAAAACTAATATAAAATGATACCCATTAAAGTTTGTAAACGAATGTTTATTCATAAGAAAAAGATTTATTTTACATTATTATGTTGTAAGTAGTCAAACATTTATAAATCAGTTAGTAATAACTGTGATATATACACTTAATATATTCGTTTATTAATTAACTTTACAATTTATGTTGTCCAGATAATCAGCTATCACAAAGTCAAGTGGAATTTTATTGACGAATTGACGAATCATGACAATTCATGATTTCCATTTCATAATTAAAAAAAGAATTTTTGAGTATTTTGATAAAATGAATGCTTCGGCAATAAGTCATATTCACAGTAGTTAGGAATATCACAGGCGTTAAATATCTTATAATCGAGTCAAGATTAAAAGGGATATAAAAATACTGTTCATTTTTTAAGTGTTTCATTCATCAAAGGTACTGGATACGTAGTAATGTTACTTTAATGTAATATTGACTGTCAAATAGTTTATATAATAATGAATTTGAATGAATGAATGTGCGCTGACACTAATGTAAAAATTCATTTATAATCTTCATTATCTGTGTAAAAATAAATGTTTGGTAGGCTTATGTATTTTAGAATAATGATAATAATAATATTAATAATAATAATAATATGTGTTTATGTATGTATGTTTACTGGTGAACCAACAAAAAAAACACAAATCAATAACAGGATATCGAATAGCTAACTTCAACAGGGTTTATTCTTTACCAAAAGGTCAGAAAAGTATATTGAAACTATAGTGTACTATTAATACCAATAAATGATTGTAGGTTTATTCACGTACAATATTCATTCGATTATAGAAGCGACATAAGTATTTTTGCATTAGGATAATATTTTAAAAATGTTTTAATTACTATAAATAAACTTATATAATTTCACTGATTTAATTTAAATTAGTTCTATGTAAATCATTTTTGAAGTGGATTTAAAAAAGTAGAGAAGTATATATTTTTCTACTGTGAAATGTTATTAGAAGTTATGCTAATGAACTCTGGACATGTAACATAAAAGTATCAACCAACAAATTTAACTGTACTTAAATTTATATAAGATAGATTTGATGAAGCGAAGTTTTAATAACATGCATTGAATCAATTATTGATCTTACTAACTTATTTAATCTCGCCTGTTACAATTGTAGAACACAGGTCACTGATCAGGATTCTCCAACCAACTCTATTTTGGGCTCGTTTTTCCAGTTGTTTCTAAATATTATTGTTTTACTAGTATAGGGGTTGTGGAGATTATTAAGTTTTTGATTGAGATCATGAAACGATTGATGTTAGACCACCACCTTTGGAAACCTGGAAGCACTGGACGGCCGTTTCGTCCTATTGTGGGACTACTCGGCACTGCACTTCCACGATCCCGCTCGCGGGATTGGAACCCAGGGCTTCGGTCTCGCGCGCGAACGCTTAACCTACTGGACCACTGAGCCGACATCCAATGGTGATAGTGTCTAACACCAACCAATCCACGAAATTGCGCGACCAACTTCTATTGTACTGAGGTAGATACCTGTCTCTACCCGACATGGATTAGCTCCACTGATCACGGCTTGTTTTGATGTCTGCCTCTAATTCCCAACTCAATCTGTTCTATGATCTCCCTCTTTTCATTTTACTCTTAGGATTCCAAGTTAGTCCTTGCCTCATGATTCAGTTCGATGATTTCCTCAATGTATGTCCTATCCAATTTCACTTTATTTTCTTTATTTCCTCTTCATATAGAACCTGGTTCGTCCTCTCTCACAGTAAACTTTTGCTGATGGTATCCGACTGACGGACACTAAGTATCTTGAATGAACAACTATTTTAAGTACCTTAACGTTTTTGATGATAATTGTGGTAGTTCTTAGAGTTTCCGCTCCTTACAGTAGAACTGTCTCAATGTTCTTTTTGAAGATTGTGAGTTTGATGTCGACTGATAGTTGTTTTGAGTTCAATATATTCTTCAACTATAGGAATACTGTCCATACCTTACCAATCCTTTCCTTTACGTCTGCACCGATCCTCCTTGTTCATCGATGATGCTGTCTAGATGAATGTAATTTTTCACCTCTTTCAGAGCTTCTCCATCCAGTGTGATTGATTCGGTGCTTTCAGTGTTGTATTTGAGGTTCTTGGTTTTTCCCTTGTATACTGAGGCCTACTGATGTAGAGGCTGCCGCTACACTGGATGTCCACGATGAAAGGACGAAAATCCACAAATCTCCCACCGTTTTCGTCCGTTCCTCCCAGTCCATGTTGTCCCATCATGGAGGATGCTATACTGATTCCAGATCCATGTGATTCCCACTCGATAAGTGCTTTTAGTGCTATTTTGGACAATATCAGGACAACTCTTTGAATGTGCGGAGCATTTTTTTCTCATGCCAAGAGTACAACGGCAACTCTTCAGAAGCTTATCTATTCTGTCCAGCATAAATCCAATGGGTTTCACGTATTTCGAGCATCGCCATGTTGTACATCCCCATTTCTGCAGCTAGTAGACTGAAGTATCCGCTCTCCCACATTGTGCAGACATTCTATATATCTATGTTAATTGTTGTTGATTTGATTGTTAGAAGTGATATTATCCTCGTGACTTCCGAAAAATCGGCTTTAACCATATGGTGTCACAATCCTTCTAAACGAAAGTGCTTCAAACCTCAAGGAAGAGCTTAAATAATCTAAACGATTTTTAAAGTTAGTTTTCTTATGAAAGTTGTTTTCTAGGAAATGTGGATGCTGACCACATGCCCAACTCTCCTTCTGTACACGGGCTTGAAACTGGGAGTAACTCAGGAAGAGCTAAAAGCGGAGATTGAAAATTATAAAGCATTTGGATCTGATAATCTAAGCTGTGGTAAAAACATAAACAAATATTATACAAACTGAGTTTACAGTTTACGAATTATAAAACTTTGTGATTAACGTCATCAGTAAATCTGTACATCATACAAACTATATAGTGTCAAAGCATTTCTTGTAGAACATTGTGATCAGTGTCTGTAGAGTATCAAGACTAGATGCGCCATCTATACCATGTCGACGTTTAGTCATTTAAATAGCTTATTTTTTTATATCAAATTAAAAACGAATATGTTTTGTACAGAATAAATAATTGCTTACAGATAGGCAAACACACTGGCATACTGTTATGGAGTTAACCTGAAGTATAAACTTGTATTTCACCCATCCTTAAATCAGTTACTAGTGATGAAAGAATGCAGAGATGCATAAATAAAAAGAATTTATTAACTTTGAAGAAAATACTTATGTCATGTTCATTAATATCTCTCTCGAATTTAGTGTTTATTTACTAGAAAATATGGTTCTTCGTGTTGTATACACATATTTTTTACAAGTGTAACTATTTTCATCAGTACGTTCGAAATATGTTTTTAACTGTTTATTCATTTCATAATCTATGCATAATTTTTTGATCATTAAAGATTTCACATTAAATCATTCGGCCAGGATGCACGCATTCTTAACTCCACGCAACTTATAGTCATAAACTTATGACCTTATTTCAATCATAATATGTATAAATCTCATCAATCAGTAATGGAATGCATTCAAAAAGTATTTAATACACTTGTTCGAATTTTATAGTTAAACTTATCTACTGTCAAAAAGGTGGTACCTCCATTCATCATTCCATATAGTTTTTTTCTCATACAGTAGTTAATATCAATATGATGAGGTTTCACTATCATGACTGATGGAACATAAGATTAAAAAGAGGTTGTTCTTAAAATAATCTCTTTTTGAGATTCATTTCTATTCCCTAATACTTTATCATTACGATAAACATTACTTCAATAAAAGTCTAATACCTTAATAAATAACTGTATTTATTGTTTTTCTCTTTTTTTCATAGACTTTACAAGCTTTAAAATTTTTGCATAGCAAACATGTAATACATCGTGATATAAAGTCTGATAATATACTCTTAGGACTAGATGGTTCTGTAAAATTAACAGATTTTGGATTTTGTGCACAATTATCTGCTAAAAATGATGATTTTAAACGAACTACAATGGTTGGTACACCTTATTGGATGGCACCTGAAGTAGTAAGCAGAAAACAATATGGTCATAAAATTGATATTTGGTCATTAGGTATAATGACATTAGAAATGCTAGAAGGTGAACCACCTTATTTAAGTGAAAATCCTTTAAAAGTAAGTACATTTGATTGTATTTTCTATAATGTTAAAAGTTGTTATATATATTAATGTGAATAGACAAAAAGAATGAAAGAATCTATTTGAACAGTTGTCGATATTATTTTGTAAAAATGATTTTACCAACAAAACAAAAAAAGGAACTACTAGCACTTTTTGTTTGTAACCATGCTACTATTATTTTTTGTTCTCGAGAAAGTGGATTAAACATTTTACAGACAAATTAATTTTTACTAAATTACTTGTGTATTTTTCTTTAAAAAAAACGAACCTATTTTATACCTAATAATTAATATCTCAGTAAGATAACTATCAAAGCATGGAAATGTTAAATTGTCTCGATGATAATTTTGGAATTATGTAAACTTGTTATGTCAAAATTATATATAATAACATGGTCTAGCTTCAACTGACTCATGATTTCAATCTGTGAAATTTCTTAAACTCTCCACAAAACCCATTCTCTGATAATAATCAACTGCTCACTAGTGACTGACTTCAGGAGACACTTCTGGAGTTCTAGTGAGAAGTCGTTACCAGTGGAGTTCAACCAGGTCTGTTGTGAGGTAGGAACTCATTGAAGACAATGGTGTACGGTAGCGCAACTTCGTGAATTGGTTGAAGTTAGACATTAACACTGTTAGATGCCGGCTCAGTGGTCTAATGGTTAAGTGCTCGCGCGCGAAGCCAGTAGGTCCTGGGTTCGAGCCCCGCGTGGTGCGGGATCGTGGATGCGCACTGCTGAGGAGTCCCATACCAGGACGAAACGGCCGTCCAGTGCTTCCAGGTTTTCAATGGTGGTCTAGCTTCAACTGACTCATGATTTCAACCTGTGAAATTTCTTAAACTCTCCACAAAACCCATTCTCTGATAATAAAAACAATACTTTATGAAAACTGCTATTTAATAACTCATTTTTGAGAGAGAAAAAAAGTGATCAAAATTTCAGACTTTTGTAATTGACTAATCTTTTTCAACAATTATACCCATATTGATTTTATTCATTCTGGAATGAATGTATTTCATATCATGCTGCATATATTTTTGTGCGAATGATCATTGTAACTTCAATGATATTCATTTTTAACAATTGAATGATTTTGTAGAATTTTCTCATGGAATATATACAGTTAGAAATTAAAAAGTCATGTTTCATTCTAACAGATATTTTGATAGACAATTTGTTCAGGCTGGAAGAACATGTCATCATTAAGCTTAGATTCATTAAATAAGACTTAATCACTGTCTAAAATGGTTTAGAAAATATCAAAGCTTTTGTATTGATATATAAAATGACAGATACCTCACGTCTTGTCAGTCAAAACGTTTTATACAAGTGTCTGACGTCACTGATATCACTAAATTTTGACAATATATTACCAATCCTTCTGCTCCCGTCTTCATGTCCAGTTTGTTTGGAATTTATCAAAAGATTACTATGTCTATTTCGGAAGTATCTCTTAGAGCTAGAAGAAACGCCCTGATCTTTTAGTTAATTTGTATTGGGAGACAAGGCTGTTTACTCTCTCCCTTCCTCTTTCTTCTGGTGGTCGACTGGATTATGAAGACCTCGACATCTGAAGGAAAACACGGAATTCAATGGACAGCTCGAAATCAATTAGACGATTTGGACTTCGCAGATGACCTAGCCGTCCTATCACGTACACACGAACAGATGCAGATGAAGATAGCCAGTGTAGCAGCAGTCTCTGCATCAGTAGGCCTCAGCATACACAAAGGGAAAACCAAAGTCCTCAAATTCAAAGCGGAAAACAACAAACCAATCACTCTTGATGGCGAAACTCTGGAAAATGTAGAATCCTTCACATATCTAGGAAGCATCATCGATGAACAAGGAGGTTCAGATGCAGACGTAAAGGCAAGGATTGACAAAGCGAGGACAGCATTCCTACAATTAAAGAACATATGGAACTCAAAACAACTTTCAACCAATATCAAAGTGAGAATCTTCAATACCAACGTCAAGGCAGTTCTACTGTATGGAGCTGAAACTTGGAGAAATACAACAACCACAATCAAGAAATTACAAGTATTTATAAATAGCTGTCTACGCAAGATACTCAGCATCCATTGGCCGGATACCATCAGCAATAGCCTTCTGTGGGAGAGAACAAACCAACTTCCAGCTGAAGAAGAAATTAGGAAAAGACGATGGAAATGGATAGGACATACATTGCGCAAATCGTCAAACTGCATCACGAGACAAGCCCTAACTTGGAATCCTGAAGGGAAGCAAAAAGGAGGAAGGCCAAAGAACACATTGTGTCGGATAATCGAAGCAAATATGAAAACGATGAAGTACAACTGGACGGAGCTAGAAAGGATTGCTTGGGACAGGGTTGGATGGAGAATGCTGGTGAGCGGCCTATGCTCCTTCACGAGGAGTAACAGGCGTAAGCAAGTAAGTAAGTAAGTAAGTATTGGGAGAATAAAATAAGCATTACCATAATATGATTCTTAAAAAACCATTACTATGCATTCGTCAGCTTTTAAATATAAAATGGCATTACCTGATATTATTTTGTATATTGATTATTAGTAGAATTCATAAAGTCTATTTAATAGAATCCAGTCTTAAATATTGACAATGAGGGATACAAATCTTTATCATTATAGCAACATGAATAGTAATTATCTATTCACATACAGTACTATAAAATTTCAGTTAAGATTTCGCAGTATATACTAATGCAACAACTCAAAGTTCAACATTTTGAAATAATAAAACAAAAAGTATCATTAGAGAATACGAAAAACTTAATTTTGGTTTCTAACTATTTTCGTCGTAATTTGCATTCATAAAAATCATAAAATTCAAAAGATTCACGTTTACATTTAAAATTTGTTTTAAAAAAAAACAACCATTTAATGAATTTTTAATTATTCCACGACAAACTTCCAATTACTAAAACTGTTTTTTTTTAAATAACGGCTAAATGATATGAATATTACATTCATAGACGTTTTCAGCGTTCTCAGTTTTGTTTTAAATTTATTTGCAGAATTATCTATATCTATTGACATAATAGAATTCCATAACATCTATCAGCTTATTCATGAATTTATATGGGAATACATTCTCTAAAATGATTCCATAGAGTTATACTTACTGAAATTGTATAAAATTAAAATCTGACATGAGTTTTGCAACTGTTATGCTTAAATCCAATCTACCAAATTTTGTTCATTGGTTTATTAACAGAATGAGTTTTTGTGGAGATTTTAGGAAATTTCACAGGTTGAAATCATGAGTCAATTGAAGCTAGACCACCATGGAAAACCTGCTGAGGAGTCCCATACTAGAACGAAACGGCCGTCCAGTGCTTCCAGGTTTTCCATGATGGTCTAGCTTCAATTGACTCATTATTTTATTGTTTATGGAAGCTTTAAGTATATATAGACAAGTTCGAAAATTCATGGTTTCTCAACTTATTACTAACATATAAAATCGATTTTACCAAGTATTGAAAAGAACAAACTGATTCAACCATAGGCTTTTATATTTAAAACAGCATATTTGTCAAAGTAATCAGCAAAAACGTTCAACTTATTGATTATGAACTTCATATTGAAAACATTAGATAATTACTCCTTTCGAAATCAGTAGGTTTTTGAAGTTTATCTATGATGAAAACTTTTTCTTGCTTTATGTTTGTAAAAATGTGAGAGGTAATGGATATTATTTTATCGTAGATGGTATAACAAACACTTATTACAACTGGAAGGTTCTAAAATTTACTAGCATATATATATATATATATATATATATATATATATATATATATATATATATATATATATATATATATATATATATATATATATATATATATATATATATAGAAGTACTATTATTCAACATAAACCTTTTCGCTTGAATAAATTTTGTTATTTATTTTTTAGCCTGTGATAATTCCATAAAGAATAATCAATTATTGACGGTAGTAATCTCTTATAGAAAAGCTCATTCCTTAAACCTTATTATAGTTAACTTTACACAGAATATAGCTGGAAGTCAAAAACGGTGTCATTCCGTGACCATAAAACATCATATCCTTGAAAAACATAACTTCATCACTTGTTTTACACCTTTTAAATGAACTCAGTGCGTACTAAACTACTTCTGATTTTGTCAGTTTAGGGATTGTGGAGATTGTTAAGTTTTTTGTTGAGATCATGAACCGATTGATGTTAGACCACCATTAAAAAACCTGGAAGCACTGGAAGGCCGTTTTGTTCTGTTGTGGGACTCCTCAGCAGTGCGCGTTTACTATCCCGTTCTCAGGATTCGAATCCAGGGCCTTCAGTCTCGCGCGGTAAGAAGCCGCGATCAGTGAAGCTAATCCGTGCCGGTTAGAAACAGGTGTCTACTTCAGTACAATGGAGGATGGTCACGCAACTTCGTGGATTGGTTGAGGTTAGACATTAACACCATTGGATGCCGGCTCAGTGGTCCAGTAGGTTAAGCGTTTGCGAACTGAAGGCTCTGGGTTCGAATCCCGCAGGTGGGATCGTAGAAGCACAGTGCTGAGGAGTCCCACAATAGGACGAAATGGCCGTCCAGTGCTGACTTGAAATTTATTTAAAAAATCCTTCCAGATCAGCTCCGACTTGCGCACAAGCATCTTTTTTACCCATTATAAGCAATATCAATCTTTCACGCAATATTAAAAACTTGTTTATACATAAATTTTAATAGCAATATAAATAAACATGAATAATCATGTACTTATTTAGAGGATTTCGAACATTGTCTATGATATAACCTAAATTATATATAGAGTCTGGTACAAAAGCATGTACATAAAGAAACTGCTCGACTGTAGATAAACAAGTTAATTATTCCTTGTTCTATTCAGAAAGCTTTGATGAAAATCTCAACTTCTTGTGATATGACTGAAATACATATCACTTATTCCTTACCGTCACCTTATACTGAATATTACACAAGTATACGACTAAGCTGAAAGAATGTGCAATCAAAAGAAAACATAAAATCAGTTTGCTAAGTCGTTGGTTATTATTTGATACTGTTTCATGATGTTCAGACTTATGGATAAGTATTGTCAGAATTATCGTAATTTATGCTTCAATTGCTAGATAGTGACCAGAGAAGCAGATGCATTCCTCTAAAGATTTGACTAAATATTATTTTACACTTCTTCAATTTCATTTGTTTTCTTTAAATATATATCCCTAATATTGTCCTCACTATAACCGTCAGTAGTGATTTTTCATGTTTTTTATCATTATCATTTACTGTTTCTTATGTAATATGAGACAAACACAGATTAGACTGTTCTTAATTATATGTTATTTATGTCTATCTATCGATCTTATTATTAATAACTTTACTATTTAGTGAGATATTTTATTTGGTTAACAAAGCTATGTCTTTGAATAACTGTTTTTGTTTTAATAGTTATGTCACGAATAGATCTTAATTAAATAATCATTGAAAGCGAATGAGCGATGGATACCTGTTTCGTCCTAGTATCAGACATCTTGATAACAAGCATTCTGTAATGTTAATTTTGACCAACACAGTTGTTCGGCAAATATATAATTCAAACTTGGAAAAACCTAGCAATAAATTCGAATCCCCCTTGTATCTATAATAACAAGACTGCAACAATGAAGCTAATTTTTTGAGTACAGTGTGAACAAGGTACATTCAAAGGTGAGAAAATAGACTGTGCAGTGTCCAGGACTTAATGATATAGGGAGATCAGAGAGTTAGGGGTAGTCTCCTTTTATAATATGGAGAGTAAAAGAACGTGCAGTGCGCACGAAAAAAAGCGATTTTGACTCAGAGCACCGATGTAATGCAAAAACATTTTCATGTGTTCGTCGATGTATTTATTTGATAAAATAGATAAGGTTGTGCAAAACAATGAATGAATGAGCTCGATACGATATTTCTATGTGGAGACATAAAAATCATAAATTTTAACTTTCCAACCTAGTGACGATCAACGAACTAGTAGATATTTCCGTGAAAATATATTTTCCGCCTATAAATATCCTTATGCAATCATTTCACGGACAGATAAGTGCAAGATAAATTGAATGAAAAAGAACGAAGGAGATTGTTCCAGTTGTTTGAAAGTTTTTCTCAAAAGTGAATTAATGAAATTCACGGTCTCGGTCATTTGCATAGGATTTTGTTGTACGGACATTCTATCTAAATTTTCGGGTCATATTTTCTGACATATCTTTTGAACAGATGGATGGATTTTGTCCATTCTTAGTGCATATTTTTGCAGAATTGCATGTTCTGTTGAACGAACAAACAATCAGTAAATTTCGATCACTAACAAAAACTCTTTAAACTCCAATATTTTTCCTGAACGTCCGAACTCCTTGAACTACCACTCTAGATCACCTACTAGTGAAAACATGGTCAGTACTACCATATGGGTTTGATTTTTCCTTGTATAGTAAGCTTTCATGACTATAACAGCAAATATTTCATTTATTAAGTGTTTTATATTTCATCTAGTGAATAGAAACAACTCTCATATAGAAAAAGCTTACTTCACAAATAAAAAAACAGTTTTAGATCTGATGCTTCTAGGTGTTTTCTTATTTCATGAACAGGAAAAGAATATGGTCACAATACTTTGAAATGTATAAATTCTTTGTATATTAAATGAAAACATTCTCAAAGGAATGTAAAAATAAAAAACGAAATGTTTTAATACTTCAATTATATCATTATCTTTCATAAATAAAATAAAACACTATTGATATTCCATTTAATTAGTCTGCATAGTTCAACGGTATTTTGCTTAATATTCATCTGAATTGATAATAGATATATTTTGTAATTTTAACCATACAAATCTATTCGAATTCTTTTAAGATATCATGTAAGTTGAAATGGTTATTTAGACATTGATATATGAGTTGAATAATACTATCTTCATTACATAATTCTATTTGATAAAGCAAATTTTAATCGAAAAACAAATTTGAACATTTCTTTTTTTCATTTTAATTTAACAAAAATTATATTAGAAGGGATTTTGTGGAGATTTTAATAATTTCAAGAGTTGAAATCATGAGTCAATTGAAGCTAGACCACCATGGAAAACCTGGGAGCATCGAATAGCCGAATCTCTCAAGGGGGTAGGATCGTGGATGCGCACTGTTAAAGAGTCTCATACTAGGACGAAACGGTCATCCAGTGCTTCCAAGTTTTCCATGGTTGTCTAGCATCAATGGACTCATGATTTCAACTATCAAAATATTATATATCGAATTATTTATTTATTATTGACAAGTTTATAATGAATGTCAAATATATAAGAATCTTTTATTCATTGAAATGAACAAATTACAAATATGAATTATTCAGGTACTTGTTAAAGAATGTTTAGAGAACTATAATTTCAATATCATTTAATCAATAAATGAATATTTTTCAACTCTATAAATTATATTCTGTTTAATAAAAGAAAAATAACATTTCTGTAATTCTCTTTCCATATGTTCATTATTTCGTTTATAAAACTCATGTAAAATACTCGATAGACATTGTTTTATAATAAAAACGCAATTTTGGTAAAAACTTTATTATTGTATATTGAATTTCTATGTTTACAGTTTGTAAAAAACGAACCCAATCAATAATATTTGAAGGAAACTATTTACAACTAATTGATCACAAAGTTGTGATCAATGTCATATACAACAGGTCCTTCTTAGAGAAGATAGAATCTTATCGAACAAGTTGAAATGTAACCATTAGTCTATGTGAATTAATATTGCATGCACTATGTTAAGATAAGATGGTGGGTTTTCTGTTGACTACCTCCAACCACCATCTTATCTTAAAACAAACTAGTCTAGAAAAACAATTCAGATTCATATTTTAAAAAATTCTTATCAGTTTCTTCTTTATTATTTTTTTTAAATTTAAATATTTAGGCATTATATTTAATAGCAACTAATGGTAAACCAAATTTTCGTAAAGATAATCTTAGTCCAGAATTATTAAACTTTCTTGACAGATGTTTAGAAGTGGATGCTCAATCTCGTGCTAATGCATCTGAACTAATTGAAGTAAACACTTTTTATTTTTAAATAACTGTGATTCATTAATCAATTCATATATATATAACATTTATTAACGTTTTGAATAGATTTTATAATGTTCTGTGAAGGATGTATATTTAACGTTGTATACGAAATGAATTCTGCTCTATTTCTCGATATTTTTAACGTGATTATAGCAACAACAGTGTTGAATAAATCTTATTCTACTCAGATTCTTTTTTAGTTAGAGAGCATAATGAGATTAGAATAATTTTTGAACTAAATCCTGAACTATAAGCTTGTCATATAGAGACAAACGATAGCAGTATCTAAGTAAAACTGTGCAAAGTAAACGTAAACGGTTATGAGGTATCATTATCAAGATTTGACTTGCAAACTTAGAATAAATTGAGCATTAGGGTAGATTGTTATAAATAAATTAATATACTTGTAATATCCCAATGAATAGAAAAATTAGATTTCCTGACGTTTCATGACTCAGTAAAAGTCACATCTCCAGAGAATAAATAAATTCTCTGAAGATGTGGCTTATACTGAGTCACGAAACGTCAGGAAACCTCATTTTTCTACTCATTGGGATATCACAAATATATTATTTATTTGTAAACGGTTATTCATTTTTTAAAGGTGACGTTAAACAGGAGACTGGAGCAAGCGCCTGATAGAATTGTTTTAGTGCTGATCGCTTCTCAGAATTTAATGTTTGTTTGTTGCAGATTGCTATCCTTTTGGATAAATGTCACGCTGAACAATTCGAGTGGAACCTTTTGTTATAGCCCGAAGCCGCCAATCAGAAACAGCGAATTATCGATCGGATCAAGGACGGGTAAAACACGTGCGAGCAGCCTAGAGTTATGATTGGCCCTGCTTTCGGCCTAGTGCAGCCAGTTAAGTTCAGAACACCAGTCTCAGCCTCTACAATATGAATCCTTATATTATTCAAACATACTGAGTTGATATACCAATCAAACAGACCACAACGTAGCATAAGATAGAAAATAACATTTGTACAAAATTTGGCCAAATGTGGCTGTGAATGTGTGAGGCAGTGACTAATAGATAGGGCATAATTCAAGAATGTTAAAACGTATAATAATGGTTCATAAGTCAAAATGAAACTTATAATAAGAGGAACTTTATTTATTTAACAATTATACGATAAAAATATACGTTTAGTACTGGCCTATAAATTACAATTGATTGATCACTGGGTGGTGATCAATGTCTTGCTCGTCTAGTCCTTATTAGTGCAGATCGAATGCCTATAAAAAGATCCCAAAGTTACCATTCATTATGTTTATCGGGACCTAACACCTTTTATCTGTTAGATTAAGGATTTATTCATTTTATATAAAGAACTATATTGTGATGACATATTTACGACTATCGGTATATTTTCGCTTAAGTCAGCTCTAAATAATCTACTACCATGAAATTGCGTACTATTGACTAAATAAAGTACAGCTTTGAAAGAGTAGCATTTAAGATAGCAACATTTTCTTAACTAGCTGAAATGAGACTGACAATTGAGGCTGATACTTGTTGGTGAAATGATCATATTCAGGGATTCGTAGAAGCAGAAACACAATAGTTTCCTAAGAGTCAAGTTGGAATGGAGTAAAAAGAAACTAATTAGTGTTCCATCCGATGTTGAGAAACTGTTCCAAAACATTGATGACAAAGTGTGACTCAATATCTTAATCAAATAGAACATAACAGCTAATTAAGCTGGAACTAATAAAAGAAGATTAAATAATTAATTATCAGTTCTTATCAGTGTTGCTATTAACTGAATAATATCAACCAAATTTGCAACACGATGACTCAGGCAAATAACTTACAATTATGTTACCTAGTCTAAGTTGATAGACAACAAATTGTTTTACTATATATGTGAGAACACTTTCCAAACCATAGTTTGGGTATATTTATGTCAATAGACGTGAATGACATCAGAATGAAAAGTATGTTTGGCGTCCATTTCTTCTTATATTACTTATTGTAGATATTTGTATTTTTCTATGTTGATAATCTTATTCTAATTTGTTCTCTTTTTGCATGTGAAGCACCCGTTCATACAACAGAATGCTCGCCCAGTGATAACTTTGATTCCACTCATCTTATTAGCACAAGAACAAGCTCGTTCTGTTACAGAATCATAAATCTTTGAGCCTATTAAATTGTGTAAATCTATAATTCTGGTTCGACGTTTGTGTATAAAAAAAAGGGTTACAGAATACTCAACCGTATTTAAAAAAACACCACTGCTTGTACGTATAGATTGCATTTTCAGTTCTAAATAATATGTTCAAGAAATTTTCTCACTTTATCAGTGATATCACTGCTCCCATTATTTTACATTTCAGTTATTGTAAAGATTGATTTCTGTTTTGCTTCATACTTTCTTATAATGCCAATAATAAACGAGCTGCGCTTCTACTATTTTTTGTTCAGTATCTTATACGCTATATTGCTAGAGTTCCTCGATTTATTTGTTTGATTATACGAAAAGATGATGATGAACACTGGATTTTTATATTGTATATTTGACTGTTGTTACATTACTGCTTTTGTGATCAATCTAAACAAAAACAAAAAACACTTATAACCGATTATCATATTTTTTTAATATGAAAACAAACGTTTTTTTTCTTAAATATTACCTTGCACTAACATCACTTATTTAACTGTAAAAGAAAGAATGAATTAAAACAAAAATTGCCTTATAAAGACACATTTATTTACTCAAATTAATTTTATAAGGTGGACTTTTATTCATTAGACAACTATTTAGTTATTCCTTTGAATTTTGTTATTTTAATTCATGCTTCCCTCTGTGTAATTTCATTTGGAAACTTACATCGATGTCTATGTCTTGTATACAGACAAAAATATATTAAGTTAAATTTAGCATAATACAAAAAAACTGAATGATAGTTGCCAGAAGTAACCATTATATTTATCATTTTATTATTATTATTCATTCCAAACAGAATAATTATTTCCATATAATTTAAAAAGATTTCATTGTATAATCGAAATTGATTTTATCAGTTTCTGAATACACGTTACATAAACTACTATTATTATTGTGTCATTAATAGTAACAATTGTATTCTATTTTTTTTTGCCAATTAAAATTCTCGCTTAGTGACTATTCGTTATAATCATGTTTCATATATGATAGACAATTTGTACAGTATTATTTTCATTTCTATGAAATCATTAGAATGGGGAAAACAACTCTTAATTTATTCAAGAAATGCGAACTTTTAATGATAAGTTTATCAATAATTCCGGAGAATCAAACGTTTTGTAATATTTACGAGGCGTTTTGAATTAAGCTTATTGTGTTGAATCGTGGTACACGATGACTTTGGACGAGTGCAGACTCCGTTGGTAGTTGTCTAATCTATAAAAAAAACACTCGAATTGCATTTGTTCAAATGTTAAGATTAAGATAAATCATGACACGATCAATGATTTTGACAATCAGTTTTGCACAAATGTTTAGATATACTTAGGTAAAGCCAACAAAGTTTTATCCACCGACACCATTTTACTGACCTTATAACGTATACACAGAAAAAAAGTTGTGAATTTCCTTAGAAAACAATTAAGAACGGAGACATACACGAGGATATCTGTATTCTAATTTTAAGAATTCAGTGTTCCAACTAAGTGGGTGAAAGATAAATCCTCTGACATGCAAACTATTTTCGGAAACCTTCACTCGATAAAGACAGATTATAAATAACTAACAATCATGGTGCCAATTTATGGTATTCCAGATTGGTCCAAATGAACAACTCTAAAGACTACATTCCTTACACTATTTCAATTCATTCACGTTGTTATTTTAATGATCATATGATCCAAAAAGGAACAATTAATTCTTGCCCGGACTTCAAAAATGAAAAACACAAAACAAATAGAAACGAATAATCTTATTACAGTTTATCACAAAACTCCAAATTATTCTAATTTTGACATTTTTTTGAAAGTAGGTTGAGTAAATACTAAACAACTTTATTAATTCCCGAATAATTTGTATAAATCCTTCTTTCGGAGTAACTATAACTAACAAAGTTGACATGACTCAAAACCAGTAATAGTAGAAAAATCACATCACACCTTCTGTATCCGTGCTGAGATTTCGTCACACACCAGACCACAAGGGCTGATGAGACTTCAAAGATGAGTGAAGCGATCGACACGCTCAACTACTTCACTCTATTTCGTTAGTTTGGGTGACAATGCCATCCAATACTGAAGTAATATTTTGCAATTCGAGGGAGAGAATCGCATCCCGAACATGCTTGCATTGTTGCTCATAGTGGTCAGAAGACTCTGCATTTGTCAGCGTCTTCACCAAATAAAACTATGTCATCAGCATATCATAAGTCAACAAGTGAATCTCCTGGTAGAAATTCAACTCCTGGAAAGTTAGATGAGGGAAGTGTTATCTCTAAAAGCACACCAACGACAAAGTCAAACAAGAATGGAGAGAGTGGACAACCATGACGAACAACACTCGAGGTAATCAATCCTGATGAAAGTTCGCCATAAGCTCTCACTCGACTAGTTGTTTTCGAGTAGAGAGCCTTTATAAGGTTAATGTACTTCTTTCAGTAACAAACACTGCCATAGAACCTCACGATCAATAGAGTCGAATGCCGCCTTAAGGTCGAGAAATACTACCATTGTGGGCCATCTGAATGTGTGCCTATGTTCTAGGACCTGACGTAGTGTGAATATCTGGACCATACAACCACGTACAGGTCGAAAACCAGCCTGATTTTCTCTAGTCTGTTCTTCACGAGCTTTAATTAGGAGTCGAACTATTATTGAAGCTAATATTTTAGACACTATATTAGTCAAACTGATTCCTCTGTGGTTATCAAAAGAGAACCAGTGAGACCAGTCAGATGGGATTACGTCCAGTTCCCAAATTCTACCTAAGACCTCGGTTAATCTCATTGCTAATACTGGACCACCATCCTTAAAAATCTCAGGAGTAAACCTGTCAGGGCCTGTTGCTCTCCCTCGTTTCAGATTTCCTATGGCTTTTTCAACTTCATAAAGACACGGAGGACCTACATTAACTTGCCATTCAGGTTGACTGGAGATCGTGGGAAACCGAAGTGTGGCTGAAGGCCAGTTGAACTGATCCCTAAAGTGTTCTGCCCATCGATCCAATCTCCTGGATTGAGAATGAATAATATGTCCATCTTTCTCTGAGATTGTTTCGCTAACAGTCGGGTTCCTAATTCCGGTTTCCTTAACGAGTCTAAACAATTGTCTGCTATTACCTATTGCCACTGCCTTTTCCATCTCTCTTGCTTTCGCTACCTACCACTGTTCGCGATCATTGCGTAGACTTCTTGTCAGTTTGTGCTTAAGCTGACTCCGTTATTCGTTATGTTTAGAGCCAGATGGGATGTGGCTAGTACAACCCAAGTCACGTAATTTCCATTGGAGTTAAGAACTGACTCATTCTATTGAGAGAAAAGTACAGTGTAAAGTCTGGAGAACAATAGAATTATATGCAAGTAATCAAAACATTTTTGTAGATTGTTTAAAATTTGTATAAATAGTCTGTGTTCCGACAACTTAATAGTACCGAGGTAGTAGTGATGATATACAGTAATAAAATTCACCAAAAGCAAATCTCAGCAATAAAAAATGCAGTGTATCGCAGTTTTCTATTCCACTTCAACTACGTCACTAGTTAGACAGTGACACATGTAGTTCAAAATATCACATCGCCATCTGAATTTTCACTTGAAATGCAATAACTAGTTTCCCAAGTGCAGTGTGAATGAACGATAACTTTTAGTTAACTAAGGATTTAGCAAAGAAAACGATAAAATACGTTATTAATCAAAACTTTTATATTTTTTCATAATCAGTGAAACATATTTGCTGGCTACCAGCAGCTACAGACACACAGAGATACGAACATATACTGTATTTAAATACCAACCATAAGAGAAATAAAATATAAGATTAGAACAGAAAAATGATTGAAAGACTCTGCAGCATTATTATTACTAATAATAGTAGTAGAAATAATAATTGTTTCATAGGTGAAAATTATCATTCATAAAACGAGAAAAATGCCCTGTAAGACAATATCTAGTGTACTATTAGCGAAAATTTTACATTAAAGGAAACCATTCAAGATAACAGTTTACATACATACTTGAGTTTTTTTGTGATTTGATTGGTTAGGTTTAGAATAAAAGATAAGAAAATAGTACGTAACAGAGAGCAACAACAAAAATTCATGCCCGAAAACAAACTTGGGGAAAGAAAGAAAACTAACGGTGACATCAAAACGCTGATTAACACTTAAAAAAATTTTCTTTACAACCTAGAATCATCCTGAAGTAGATGATACTAAATTTGTCTGATAGTTAACGAAAATGATAAGATCGACATGATTAATCATTTAGCTTTAAAAAAACACAAGGACAACACACCTAAAACTTGCGAACTTGCGATAACACAATGATTGTAATAAACCACATTGTGTATTGAATAACGAGGTCATGAGAAGTATGTAATTTATAGAATATTAGCTCTTATTGCTTTACGTTACTGAATGACAAAATATGCAATAAAACTGTCTTTTTTTAACGAACTACATGAACGAGCATATGTATATTAGAAAAACATTAGAATAGAATATTATTCCCCTAATAAAAAGGTGACAAAGTCTAACTAATAGGTGTTAAGGAATGTGAGAAAACAAAGTTGAGCACATAGAGTTTGTTAAATTAGAATTACACAGCATATATTGCTGACATACATTGAGTTAAGAAAATATATTTTCATACAATATATTCCTTGCAATAAATCATATTACAAGAACAAATTAATGAGAAGTCATAAAAAAGAAGACAGAATATATGTACTAAAGCGAATATGATTGTGTATCAATTTTACGCTAACGATAATTTAAATATATATAATAAACTGAAGAACATATAAAACTATCCACGATAGGAATGGGATTGCTGGAAAAATAGAAAACACACACAAGACAAACAAAGGGATTTAGCCAAATTATTATATAAGAAAAATTAAATAAATTTAAAATCATACGAATCCGCTAGGTCCTATAACTGGTTTCACTACGGGGTTGACTAGCACAAGCATCTAAAACTACCAAAAACGCTTTAACACACAATAATTATTGTTGTTTATCACTCTTTGACGATATGTTTACAACCTAAATGATTGAATTGCTCTATTCACACAAGCAATTATCGTAAAGAATAGATTAAATTACTGTTGGTTGCCTCAAACTTTCGAAAATCAGCAACTACATTTCAAATTTCGGTCATTTTTCGAGATGCGACAGAAACAACTATTAGTATTACATACGTAACAAACCACGGAAAATAGAATAACAACAAGATAGAGGAGTAAAGTAAAACAATATTTCGGTAGTTAAATAACAGAGAATGTAAAAATAAACGAAAGGTATATATTTCAGTGTAATGAGATGTGAAGGAAACAAATTTATACTCAGATGTCGCAAATGAGAACGTTTCGAGTTAGCGCCATCATATTTTTGAAAATACGTCTTTCCAAAGCTCAATGAATCGATAGTATAACTCGTTTTGATTGTATCCAAACTGCTGTATGTTGAAGTGCAGGTACAATGACGAAAAGGCATTGCTTCTTTTAAAGCTTACGTATGATCCCGAGAATGAACATGATTTTAAAGAAAATACTTTCGGAGTTATACATCAAAAACACAGGTATCAATAGTACGGGATCGAAAAACGTAGGTACAACAAAACATACCACTGCTATTAGAAAATAATTTACATTAAGAGTCGGATGAATTCATGCGTAAGCGATCTAGTACACGACGCCTAACATTGGCAGATAATCGTGGATTGCTATCCAATACACGGGTTAATAACTCCGCTAAAAATTCGGTTGTATACTGAGGTGACGAAGCATCAACTGCCTGAAACGTAGCCGCTAAATTGGAGATCGAATCCGAAGCACCACTAGTGACTTGACTGTAAACATCTTGGAGCTGAAGAAAAAATCACAAAACATTTGGACTTGATAAAAAGAGGATAAATGTAATACAATGAGAACATATTACAAAATAAAATGTTTGAGTGTACGGTCTGACAAACTTCATATTATTTTGAGATAACTCGACTTTTAACAGTATCGTTTATACAGGTAATCACATAAAAACCTGAAGACAACACAAATAATAATAAATCAACACTTTTTATCGAATCAATCAAATCGCTTATTTTATTGTTTACAAAACGAAATCCGATTATACATTCACTTGATGAGCTTAAACGGAGAACCCTTGTGATACGAAATCCCCTATTATTACAATAGGTGGTTTGTGGAAATTACTAATCGTATTTAAGAAATTTTTTTAAACCAAGAGACACTGGATCGCTGTTTCGTCCTAGTATCAGACATCTCAATAACAAGCATCCACGAACTTTCAGTGGGTCGAATACAAAATTATCACGTCTCACCACATTTAGACCACTAAATTGACACCCAAAAATTTACATGTTTGATTTTAAACAATTGACCATATGAATCAACAATCCTCCATTGTCTTAGATGAGTAACTGCATCACCCGACGTCATACTCTGCTGGTCAATAATTTCTACTGACTGAGATACAATGTCAGTGATAGAATTTTCATTAACTCCAGTAAAACCTCTCTAAGACACCAGATGTTATTTTAAGTAGCATTCAGCCCTAGTTTTTATTTACCACAATTATCGTCCCAGACGTTTAACAAATATCACAAGTTTTATTCGAATAAGTATCGACAGATTTCATAGATTGAAACCATTAATTATTATTTGAAGGTATCATTATCAAGGTTTGACTTGCTACTTTAGAATAAATTGAGCATTAGTTAGATTGTTATAAATAAATTAATATACTTGTAATATCCCAATGAGTAGAAAAATTCGATTTTCTGACGTTTCGTGAGTCAGTATAAGCCACATCTTCAGAGAATAAATAACCAAGTCAAAATTAATTATATTTTATATTACGTTTTTATGGTTTACCTAAAATTCATAAGCCAGATATTCCTCAAAGACCTTTAGTAGACTTCACGAACACACCAACACATGGATTATCGAAATATCTGAGCAGCATATTAAAGCCACTACAACTTAGCTTACATAATATAATTAAAGATTCCTATGACTTTAAATTAAAATATCGGAATTAATTATCGAAAAGAATGAAATCATGGTAAGCTATGATGTTGTTTTATTACACTAGTATTCCTATTGATAACTTCTTAGAATTCATTAGTGGTTTACTAGAGAACAGCAACACTTTCTGAAAGATGTCATTTAAGCAATGGTTTAATCATGAAATCCTTAAAACTTTGTTTAAATTCGACACTATTTACTTTTAGCGGGACATTATACAAACAAACTAACTGTGTAGCAATGGGATTCCCCTGTGTCCCCGGTTGTAGCCAACATGTTTTTGGCACACATAGAATCGAATATTTTCGCCAATGACATTAAACCACGAATTTGGCTTACATATGTAGATGATACGTTTGTTGTGACAAAAAACTCATCTAAGGTCTTTTTCGAAACGGATCGATACACTTTCATCGCACATCAAATTTACGAACGAGAATGAAGATGAACATGGTGAGCTGCCATATTTAGATTGCTTAGTAAAAAGAAATCTAAATGGGATTCTAAATCTATTCATCTACCGAAAACCTACACACTCAAATTGTTACATCGACTTCAATGCAGCACATCCATTCAGTGCAAAAATCTCACTAGTCCGAAATCTTTTAAGAGTTAACAAGATTATCACATAGGAAGCGGATAAACAAAAATAACAAAAGAATGTAATCAATATCTTACAATTCAATAATTTTCGTACGAAGATTATTAGAAGTGTATTAAAGCAAAATGTTTCAATGATTAATAGTAATTCGAATGAAATACGATGGATTGTTACTACAGTTTTACCATACCGTCATGGTACGACAGAACTCCAAAGAATTTTAAAAGAACATAGGATTAAAGTATATTACAAAACAACGAAAACTTACGAAATACTTTAGTTCGCTTAAAAGATAAACTCCCATTTATGTCAACACAAAACTGTCTACAAATTAGGATGCATCAATTGTGATGCCTTCGATACTGGAGAGTCACCTCAAGAAATCTTCACTCGAGCCAAAGAACATTAGGTGCAAAAAGAAAACATCTAATAATCCCATAGAACTGAATAGATTTCGAATTAAATGAGTAATAGCAGTTCACGCCACTTTCAACAACCACAAAATCGATTTTAAAAACATCAAAATATTACAAAAACGTTTTTCGAACTATAAAGAAAGGATAGTAGCTGAGGCTTTTCAAATATAATGCCTAATCCCATTGCTTTCAATAGAAAAGCCTCACTATACATCCGACTATCTATCCTATCTATCATGTCTGATATTATTCACATTTCACACTATTACCTTACATACAAATTAAACTTTATCTTTTCTCACCAGAAAGATCACTTTTTTCATCTCTAATCTTGCACACATACCTTGATCGAAATGACATGACATTGATTTGTTCAGACCTGTTTTTTAAATGATCGCACATAATATTCTTGCGTTGGTTCTTTATATTATTTAATATTATTCTTTATATTATTATTATCTGAAGAAGTCACAAAACGTCAGAAAATCTAATTTTTCTACTCATTGGGATATTTTAAAAAATTAATTTATTTAATTATTCTGATAGTTTTTGACTGAGGAAAAATGTCAGAGACAGATTAAGTCCCTGTAATGTTATATTTGACCAACACAGTTGTTCGGCAAATATATGATTCAAACTGGGGAAAACATAGTAACAAAATCATACGTTACACAAAGTTAACACTATACAATTTTTTTCAGAAAAATGGAAGCCATACGCATTAAAATGAGTCCAGTGTTAGTGCAAAACAATTTATCTTACATCCTGAAGCAAAGGTAAAACGTGCTGATGGAAACAAGATGGTTTATTCAGATTTACAACCAATGGTGGTGATTGACTATGTTGAGGTTTGTTATTAGCTGATGTAGAAATATTCTTTGAGTTGACTAATTTCGAGTGTCCAGGATCACCAACTGTAAAGAAAACGAAGAAAGGGAATGTATAAAAACAAGCGAATGTCTACTTGGAAACAAAATGAAGTTTTCGGAGTGTCTAATTGATATGAATCAAGTCTCATTTCGTAAATCATTCTTTTTCCTACCACTCAAAATTACTTGGTACTTATAAGAGCATAAGTGACCTCATGAAATAGAATTTTCGTCTCTACGAAATGATTTTACTACAGTCAGCAAAGGTAGTTGAATCAGTCGATTGTTGACACGTCTGATACAATGGTTCAGTTATCACATTAGCTGTATTATACGAGAATATAATTGAAAACTTTATTCTGAAGAATGACAAGTATAAGGAACATTTTATTAGCATAAATAAATAGTAAATTTCATGACCTCTAACTTCGCGGAATGATTCTCCCACGGGATATGATGAGATTGAACAAACAGTTATTATACAGCGAAAAGAAACATTGCAAGGTCTCGTGAATGAGCAGAAGCAGCAGCATTATGTTTGTACCATATAAAAAATATGCATCCGTTGTAAGGAATAATTGTGCTTTCAGAAAAATCTCATTAAAAAGTACTGTTTCACACTTGTTATTAAAATTAAAATGTTACAAATTAGAAGTTAAGACAACTCAGAAGTATAAGGCACCATTATCATTCATTTCACTAATTATAACCTTTAATATATAACCAAACACAACTAACCATAAACTTGACGAGACTGAGGAATATCGCTAGCCATAATTCTAGTAACAGGTTGAACATTTTGTGGCCGGATAATCGGAATATTAGTAGGGCCGGAAGATGCATTAGGACCAGTGGTATTCTGATTTGAATTCATTGCTGAACGTGACATTTGGACACGAGAATTTTCATCTGATGTACATATACCAATTTGTGAAGGTTGAAACCCCGAATGAAGAGGTCCTCCTATTGCAGGGTTCGCAGCACGTCTAATTAGATAATAATTTGAAAATGAACAAAAAAAGATTGCGTGATAAGTATTTAACAACTACTTTCAAAATTACTAATTAGTGCCATTTTTGCAGAGAAAAAATATAGCATTTCCAATACAGGTAAAAAGAATGGCAAAAGAAGCAAGGTAATGTTTAAAGTTGCAAGAGCACATTGTACCTACGAAATATACCATTCAATATAAATAAATAAATACATAAATACCTTACTTAGTTTGAGCATATTTAGTTGAACAAAAATACACTTTCGGCATTTCAGTATACATTAATAATGTGATAAGACAAGATAAAAAGTGCAAGAAAACCACAGGAATCTTGAATTAGCTTTCGAGATAAAAAGGATATTATGTTTTTTTTCTTGATTCGTTATGATCTTTACTTCATACTACTTCAGTTTACAGTCCAATGTGATAATCGCTCAAAGAAAAAAATGTCCTATTTTTAGCATGGTAATTTGCTCAGCATAACATTGATTTTATTTTTAGTATGAGGTTTACTTAGTACAATATACTTTGTATTAAACTAATGTGAACCTTGTTCAGTATGATATGCAATATGTGTCTATGTAATAATTCTGTACACCTTTCATACATATGACATTTGCTAATTAATTATCAAATGGATATACAAGATAAATAAGCGTATTTTTTGGTTAAGTGACGTGGATTTTGAAAAGTCAATGATCCTTTGTTTGTATCAAACTTTCGTGTTCTCATTTCCAGTCGTGAGAATTGTCGTAGTTTCCAATTTCAAATAATTACCAATAAAACACAACAACTAAATTGGATAGATAAATGAATTGAATATCAAAAATGTGTAATCTTGAATAAAAGTTATCATTTGTCGAGTTAAACGATAATTATAGTGCAACCGGTACTAACTGGATTATTTCTGCCTGCAACGAAATATACCCATAAACAACTAAAAAAATATTGATATCGAAATTGTGATCAACTAGTAGGTTTTAAATGATTTCTTTACGAGTCATGATTATATTTCATAAAAGCAAACACTAGATTAACGATAAGCTACATTTGAAAGTAATCGCTGTAGATGGTAAATTATGAAATGCATACAGTATAGAACCTGGCATACGTGTACATCAGTCCAAGTTGTCACACCTCACCGGTACAGCGAGATGAAATGTTTACGATGAATTCCAGTGGGAGAGATATTAACAATATTGGTGGCAATAGAAAAGATTAGGAAAAGAAGATATGATTTGAGACGCATAAATTAGAGAAAAAATCCATTACGAAGTAACTTATGAACTTACGTCTAAGAGTGAATGCAACTGTCGCATTCCATACAGTTCTGAGCCGTGTCATACAAAGTCTCTAGTCACTGGTTAAAATAAACGAGCAGACCACAATCAGACAACCTGGAACCACTTACACGGTTCAGTCCAAAAGTCGGTAACTTTATGCACCGATACCATGTGTTTAGTTTGGCCAACCCTAACTTCCTTCCAACCTACTCCTAGACTAGCCATCATTGTGCATCAAGACAGACTTACACATTACGTAGCGAACTCGAAGTCTGTTTTGTTGATCAATAATACCACCAGCACATTCACTGAGTCAGTTCACCGTTTAGTGTACGGATTTGCAGTTACTAAATTGAATGATTTACAGAACCCTGTTTATTTAGTATAAATACTTTTGTTGATCTTATACAACGTTAAAATTCAAAGCTACACATCAAGAATAATAACGAAAACGATACACTAAAACAAATTTATTTCAACCAGGAAAACGTCGTTCAACCTAGAGCGAACAGGAAACAACGGGAACCTAACCACAAAAGTAACATTGAAAGACAAACAGTACACATTATCTCAAAAAGAACATTACCTTCAGTGACTTTCTGGATTTATCAGCGATTACCGTATGGGTATCATTAGAAAAGTACATACATTTTACAAACTGAAGCAATGGGTTAAGTACAGTATAAGACTTTCATTATATAATCACTTCCGTGTACAATATTGGAAAGTGATTGTATAAAAGTCGCATTTCTATGATTAAATATGAACGGCTGTGAAAACATTTCAATAAATCGTCTATTGAAGCTTTCAATCACCATTCAACTAGTAAATAAAAGACATTTTAAACGGTTACAAGTATAGGGATAAATATACAACATTTAGACTTATTTTCTACTTTTATTAGGAACTATCTCCGCAATACCCCAATCAATGTAATGAAAAGTTAGGCAGTAAGGAATGGAAAGACCAACCCACTAATTACAATGTTTAATTTTTAGTGACTACTTACGATTCATATCCATCAGAGAGACGTCGTTCGGCTTCAAGTGCAGGACCACCAGATGTTCGCTTGATAACAGACTGGGCATCTGAACTGGATGGTGACGATGAAGAAGAATGGTGGGTAGTAGAAACATCGGGGGAAGAGTAGGCTGAACCTGGATTATGAGAAACCTGTGCAGACTGTGATGGCATAGCACGAACTGTTTCAAAATTCCACTTGAATGTATCAGACGCTTTTCCCGGTCTCATACCATCAAAATGTTTCTTCTTTTGACCGGGCTTTTCAGCACCAACAGGAGCTCCAGGAGTATTTGGATGAGCATTTACAAGATCTTCCTCGTCTGGAACACTAAGAAAATTCAAATAGCAACAACCAGTCTTAATGTACGTGGAAGCCAATACAATAACGACAAAGTAAAAAATGAACATGACTGTAATTCATCACGTTCTATCTTTCCATATATCATGATATTGTGTTGAGAAGTGTTTTAAAAACAAAGTAAACTTTACAATTAATGAAGTTAGACCGAGTTGATGTCTATAACGTCGTTAACCAAAATCATGAAGCATTCATGGTCGGACATCAAAGGCCATAAAATATAACACAATTGTAGGTTAGATGATTATATTACCGTTTCATGTATTAGTTCTCTGTAGATTTTAAATTCTTTAGCCTACACTTTTAGAACTCTTTGTTTACAAAATTTAGTTTTTAATCAAAATTTTCACTGATTCGAACTTCTAGCATCTAATAGTAGACAATAATGCCATTTGGGACATCAGCTTAAGCACTTATCTAAAAAAAATAAGACTTCAAATATAGTTAATGTTCCATTTGGACTCAGTTCGAACGATAGTTTTCAAGTTATATAAGATTTTCAAACAAATTTATTAAAAAAACCTGTACTTATAATGTGCCAACTATCAATATATTTCTTCCAATATTAAAACATAATTGGATGGATAAGATCAATAAGTACTTTACCTAATGCCAACTTGTGGAATCTGTATAAGGACGAAAAACGTGCAGAAAAAAGAGAACAAAACCTTTTTCAAGGTTTTGGTGTAACTGGATCACTAGGAGCCATTTTGAGGCATATCGCTTGAGGCCTCTAACCAGTAATTTCGGTTATAATATGAAACTTCCAAAATAAGTAGAGTTATTAAGGCTCTCAATTACTCCACTCCTTACTAACAGACTAGTATTGAAGTAAAATCTTGTATTTAGAGAAAGAGAAACAAACTTTAAACATCCTTATATTGTCAATTTAAAAAACATTCAAGACATAATTTTGTCAGCGTCTTTAGTAATTAGATCTACCATTTAATAATAATAATAACAATAACGATAATAATAATAATAATACTATGAAACTCCAGAAGTATTATTATTATTTAGGAAAATGTTAAACAAATAATTTCATAACTGAAAACTTAATGTAAGAATCAATTTTTAAAAATAAAACAGTTTAGGTTAGAAACCATGAACATTTAATGAAATGTGATTACAAACAAGATAAGAGAGTACAATTCGTTACTACATAAATGTTATGTGATTTCACAAAATTTCTATTTAGTCGTGAGTAAAACAAATAGTTACTAAACATTCACTTGAATTTTAATGTTAAATGCTGAAAAATTTTCAAAGGTTTATAAATAAAAAGTAACTAAATTGTAATAATACAACGCAATTATTTGAACAAAAAGATCGAATTACGTAAGTACAGACATATATGCTACGAACAAAAAAATATTTATGTGCAGCATATGTGCTAGTCTTTTTTTTTTCAATGAATTACACTATAAAAATAGTATAAAGAAAAGAATCAAACAATAAACACAGATCTTGGACAAATCAGTATCAAAAAAGGAATGTGAATGTGCGTACGTGCACAAAAAGACAATTCAATATTATTTTTCATATAGCAAAAAACCTCTTTTCATGTCTGTGTAAATTGTGTAAGGTATGCAATACTCCATTTGTTTAATTGGCAATTATCGATTTGACCAAAAACTAAGAAACTTTACACGTCTAATGCCGGAAACCAAACAATCACATCACTATACAATTTAATACCACACAACACTATGTATGGGGGGTTGAAATTCATTAACCTAAGCTTGCTAACAATCTGAATCGTGTAGTTATCTAAATATTTCTTAAAAAACAGAAATTGAATGATTCGATCAAAGAAACTGACCTTTTACGTCTGATTAAATTAACAACTCAACGTAAAGTAACCGGACATTCCTAATACGTAATCTCCAAATATTTAAGTGACAAACGAATAATGCAGGACAAATGTTAAGCCTCCTAGGAATAAACGCGAATTCCATAACCAAAGTTACCACATCTTTACCTGTGGTATTAAGTGGAATGATGAAATGTGCCAACGTAAAAATGTGGAATCAAATTGACAGACTGATTAAAGAATTTCAGCTATGTAGGCATATTTAATGTGTATTCAATATGAGGTTGATACCTCACAAAGAGATTCGCATTTTGATACACATCTTTGTGTGAGAATCCTACAGTTAATTATATATATATATATATATATATATATATATATATATATATATATATATATATATATATATATATATATATATATATACCTAACATTTCACAGAATCGCAACAACATTGTACCATAATTCCGAAACTAAATTCAAATATTTTAAAACGAGTAAGACCTGTTGTTAAAGACGAAAACTTTTAAACTATGGTAAGTTCAATATTGTATGAAAGAATGTGAGCAAGGGATTTCTATCAAATTACACCTAAACAGATCCATTCTGATTATCTATGCAGAAAGATAGATTTTAAGCAAAACCCATACGACAAGAGCTTCTCATGAAGTTTTCCTTGATGATTTAAGCAAGTGCTATAGGTAAATACTACTAATTGAGTTCTGAAATAGATTATTTCATTTACCGTTTATATGTATAAATATACCGTGACCTTTCACATTTCTATATATATCCCACTACTTCTTTCAACCTAAGATTTAGAACAAAACTCTTAGTTTCATAAATGACAACTTTGCCACCGCTTGGTTGTCAAAAATATCTACTCTCATTTTACTGTGGAGTAATAAAGAACGTCACATAAAATCTCACCTAATATTACACAAGGTGGGATCAACAGGAAGATAGAACAATGTTTAGAATACAACAATGAAAGTTTACGGAAAGTAAATGAGTTAGAATAAGTAGAAAATAAGACAATATGTACTTGAGGTAGGATTTGTCAACTAACTTTTTGAGTCTCGTAATCTTACAAATAAAATCACTCAATGAGAAGCAACAATTACGTCACAACCCACGTAACATTTACTTTTAAATATTAAGAAGAACGCGACTGGTTGAGTGTTTCTTTACAAAACTACGTCTTCATATTATCTACTTACCTTCAAATATAAGTAAAGATAAATCTGGCTAGAGATCCTTTAAGGTTACCAACCGGATAAAGGAAAGTTGAGTATAGGTTAGTAACACCATCCCATAGAAAAAAACGCTAACTATAAAAATCATATAAACCATTTAAACTCTGTCTTAAGAGTTTAAGCATCTTCCTTCAGAAGAATGATAATGCCTCATGGTGAAAGTCGAGACTATTCGAAAGTCACGAGGATAATATCACTCCTAACAACCAAAGCAACAACGATTAACATAGATATATAGGATGTCCGCACAATGTGGGAGAGTGGACATTCCATTCTGATAGCTGTGGAAACGTGGAGGTAAAAAATGGAGATGCTCGAAATAAGTGGAACCTATTGGATCCAAGCTGAACAGAGTAGAAAAGCTTCGGGAGAGATGCTGCTCTTGAATGTCGTTGGTTGGACACCATCAGCAACAACCTACTGTGAGAGAGAACAAACCACCTTCCATCTGAAGAGAAAATAACGAAAATAAACTGGAATTGGATAGGACATACATTGAAGAAATCATCAAACTGAATCATGAGGCAAGGACTAACTTAGAATCCTAAGAGTAAAATGAAAAGAGGGAGACCATAGAACAGATTGAGTTGGGAATTAAAGGCAGACATCAAAACAATAATATTTGGAAACAACTGGAAAAGCGAGCCTAAAATAGAGTTGGTTGAAGAATTCTGAAAGGCGGCTTGTGTTTTACTAGGAGTAACAGGGATTGAACAAAGGTAAAGATACTTCTTTAGAAATATTTTGACTGTAGACTTCAGTAAACACCTAGAACCCTAAGTAGAAAAATTTATCCAAGAGACAACCAACTAAGAAAATGATATTCCTTAGTATAAGATCAAAATTGATATTGTAATAGAGTATTTATAAAAATACATCTACAACATATGCTGTTTTATCATGAAGGAATGGTACAAACTCCGATGACAACAATCTGATATCATGGTTCACAATAAAACCGATTGGGATGAATAGCCAAAATCAAAATCAAACATACCAAACATTAAACTTCAGATAGTTGCTACAGGCTCAACTGTTTGAAGCTTAAAGAACTAAACGAAATGAGTTATTTCATTTTAAAACATATCTACTTATCCGATAGTTAAATATACTTCGGCAAAATGATTCACAGTAAACTACAGTTTGAATTTTGACTAGACTTTTCCTCGTAAATCAATAAAGGAATCGTCAGTCATTCACACTAAATCTTACAAAGAAAACTAGTATATATTTAGTGTATAATAATTTCAGTTTTTAATATTTAGAATTTTTGGTGTTAATTTATCGTAAACATGTATTTGATCAAGTGGTAGGTTACTTAGATTTCTGAAAGTATTAAGATGAGATTTTCTAAATTTTGGTCCAAGTAACTGTGGTGTTGAACTCATCTAAAATATTGCATATCCGAAGTCATGACTATCTTCCAGGAATAAGGAAAAATTATAGTCCCGGAAGCGTTACCATAGTGGATCTACATAAAACCCGAGGAGTGACAATAACTTCAACAGTCTGATATTCAAACCTATTCATAAAAACAAAAGTACCGTATAATAATATACACATCGTATCATCATGAATAAGCATTGTATGAAATAAACAGTCAACTCTCAGTCACTGCAATATATAATTATATCAGCGAAATATATGTTAATGTTTGCAGATAGATAACACAAATTATCCCTAGGTCAACATGTAGACTATAAATTAGTCGGATATCTTCAATTTGCTTTGGCGTTTTACATGACGAGCTTTAAGGAGAAATTAGCGCTTCCATAACGCGAAAGACATAATCAACTTTCACAATAAGAATGACCACAACCAATGACAACTAATCCACTAAATTTAAAGTGAAGCAGGCCTGAAGATAAATAACAATCAATTACTTCTTCACACTTAACAATAACTGAGAAACGAAATCTCTCTTGCCTTTGTTTGTATTACGAGTTCTTAAAGTTGCTTCGTCATTATATGATTTCCCTCTTCTACAAAATACCATTTCCTTTATAATGGAGAACTACTGTGTTTTGTTGTGATGAAATCTATAAAAAGATAGTCAGTAGTGTTACATATTTGCTGGTATGTTTTTTAATAACTGATTTTCCCATTAACAACACTTTAATAGGCACACTGACGATAATTTAACTACAAACTTTTCTTACTTGAAAGAGACGAAGTAGCTTTGATTTGTACTTTTACGTTCCTTGTAGAAAAATATGAACTCATAACAATAAATCAGCTTTATCACACTTCAAAACCTTTCGTTCTACATCCCTGGTCATACCAGGTAGAATACGAAATGAGAATATAATGATTTATTGATATACTGAAGGTTATTGGTTAGAAAACAGATTTTCAACAATAAAACTACCAATATTAAATGTTGAATTTATAAAGTGTTCAATTAGCACTAAAATTTTTTAAAGTTGGATGCGAAAGGATCTCTTTTCAACGAATTTATTATCAAGCTGTACAATCGTATATATATGAAAATTTTGTCTTTTTGTAAAAGTACTAATTCCGTGAGGAAATGTGAACACAGCTAATAAAAAGGTATTATAACCTTTTTATTAACTGTGTTCACATTTCCTCATGGAATTAGTATTTTAACATTAATATGTTCACACAGATTACATACACAGATAGGAAGGGCTTATTTCTTAAAACTTAATTAGTGCTTTTCTCTTTTGCAGTCAAAATCAAAACTGACCTTAAAAGTCGTTCTTTTGGCTTTTTAACAGTCAATGACTACTTAGGCTTAATAACACGTAAAATGAATTATGAAGACAGTAGTTTACAATTCTATAACGTGATACATATAACTTCCAAGAGTTAAAGAATTCAAAACATATAAGGCATCAATATTTTCTCAGTAAAACTCCATAACGACCTAACGTTGTTTATGATTGCATGGAACCAAGAATTAAAATGTACGAGTTGTGGTCTATGGATGAAATATAATTGAAATATCAGGATTTGGAAACAATTTATGCATCAGCTTAAGTATATGTAATGACTAACATTAAACAATGGATTATTTTAACTGAAAGGCCAGGACAATAGGAAGATATGAGATAAGATGTTGAAGCAAATAATGGTGAAAAAAACATTTAAAAGCTAAGAGATTTTCAGTCAGTCAATACATACCTCTTACTATTATTTAGAAAATCTCCCGATTCTGTATGATAAAGTAAATATGTTGAACATGAAAACAGCAGTTATGTATGTTTGAACTTACAGACCATCGTCGTCAGATTCACCATCTGCATCATCATCTCCACCTTCATCACGCCATTTTCGATAGCGCTCAATTAGCTCTTGCAGAAAAGCTGTTTTACGAGCCTTTTTAATAAAACTGTGACGTAGCAGTTCATGTGCAGTTGGTCTCTGGAAAAAAGATGAATTTGACGGACGTAAAAGCAATTAATGTACAGAGAACATAAAACGGACTGAACTATTTACAGTAACGCATGAGTAAGTTGCTTAAGTAACCCTAGATCGATAACAATCAAAAAGTATCTAAAAAGGAATTTATACAAATACATACGATATATTCAAAATAAGAGATCATAGCCACAATACTACCAATGAATAAAAGTACTTACAGTAAAGCAAGTTAGGAAATAAAGAACAGTACAAAAACAAGAGGCTGTTAATAAGGTACACAGGAACTTGACCACATAGTAATTTATCGTTACAATGTGATCGCACTGCAATACATTTTCTACCATACATCATTTCATTGAGTATTTTGAATGACTGATTTCATTCTCACCCATGTGGTGGGTCACTTGTTTCACTTGTGGTATCACTTCACATCACTGATATTGTTACTCCAGTCTACATCCTTAACTTCTGATTAACATATCATGATTCGAAATTGTGAAAATCTAGTGAAACTCGAACAATTGTTTAGTATATATATATATATATATATATATATATATATATATATATATATATATATATATATATATATATATATATATATACACTTGGTTGATGGGTTACGAAATTATTTTTACTTAAACCTGTAAAATCATAACTTAGTAGAAATAAACAGGTTACATAACCTTGTGTAATGAAAAACAAGTGAATGGTGGGTATTAAATCAGAAGAAAGTCTAAAAAACTGTAATTGCATGGCATTAATAAACAGAAAATTAACAGATAATCAAAACAGAATTAGAATTTTACTAGCTTCTGGAAATAGTGACTATCGTACCACAAATAGATTCACATACAAAGAAAAGATTGAAAAAGTTTGAATTATTCAGTAATATGGAAGCATATATGTTCTGAAAAAATTGAAGACTACTAACATGGAGTTGTAGACAAACAACCTAGACAGTGGATGGAGTATGAATATAAAAAACGAAGTAACATTAATAAAATGAATCTATGAACATAATGTACGTTTGACTACTTCCTTGCATGTGTTAAGTAATACATACAGAACGCGTGTAAATTATAAGTAATATAACCACCAAATGGTTTTCGGACTATTTATATAATAACTAAAAGGAAATGAATACAACCAGATAAATAACATTTTATATATTGGCGTTAAATAATTACTTCAACATCAGTTGATGAGCTAACAAAGTGTCATTATATTGATAAATGATCAATATCATTGTGAAAATTAATTCAACATGAAGAACGGAATTGCGAATAAGTCGTTCAGACCACAAGTCAAACTGCTCAGTGAACCCTTCTGATGTACGTGAATTACTTCATTTATTTTATTTGAACACATGGATATTGGTACAGGGAGGCACCAAATACATATGCGCCACACAAATCAAATGTGATTTGTGTGAGGGCTGTGGTGCCCAAACCGAAGCACGTGGTTTTCTTGAGGGAGTACACCCGGGGCCTTCGGCCCAAAGGTCTGATCCACAAGACAGTGCAACATCGTAAGGAGATGCAGTCCCATGGTAGCCGGTGACCAACGATTGGTTCTTACGCCATTTGTTCCCTCAGGATACTGGAGCCCATGTGCACCATTCGTTTGAAATTAGGGTTTTCTAACTCCCCTAGGTAGGACTTTCCGTGTTCACCAACCCGGTTAAGGCGCCGGATATTCGCTTTTCGTCCTCTCAATTTCGTAAACAACACCCCGCTACGAGAAAGCAGTGAGTAGGACTTACCTGGCAGAGGTTGTATACGCATGGCGATGTAAGAGCATTTCGAGAGGGAGAGCTGACTCTCCTCACTCTCGGCCCTACCAGGGCATTTGTGGACTCTAAAGCATTTTGAATATTTGGCAATTTATCAACCGAAAGATAAATATATACGTATTTGTCCGAAAAATTGAGGGTTTACTTTAAAATAATGATTTACAGTTCAAGCCAATCGCATATATATGATCAGACACTGAATTGTAAAACCATAGTGCAATCAAAACATGTAAAGAGGTCACCCTAATAATTATAATCAGAAATCGATATTATCCTTGCCCAATAGTGCAAAATTACTTAAATCTAACAATAATTGATTGTAAACATACTAAGGGATATTTTGTACGGTTGCATGGATTAGATTACCATACCACAATATGAGCAAACTAGAAGCAAGCGTTTCGTGGTTTTAAGTTACTATCTATCCATAGAGAGTACAAAGTTGTAGTGATCCTGTTTATTACATTTAACAGCATTAAACAGGAATCATAAAAGACTAAAATATTCACGTAACTCAACAGACATAGCGTACATTCATTAGGTTTAAAGTCACAGCAAAAATAATCATGAAAACACAAAAATTAATGAACACGAAAAACACCCATTAAATAACACAAGAACAAAATCAGTAGACTAAACTCAAACGGTACATTAATTTGAGCAGATAGTGATGATAATCGTTTCAAGGGCCCACAAAAAAATTCTGTAGACAGTTCTGAGATTATTAAGCTTTCTATTGAGGTAAGCAGACACTGAAAATAGGCAGAATTTGCATAAACAATTATCACTGGATGGCTGTTCAATGCAGGGATGATGATAAAAAGTGAAGAAAGATATGAAACTCAAGCTAATTTACTGAATCGCCGTTTATTCAAAATGAAAATCAAAATAAGGATCAAATTTGAAAACCAACATAGTCTACTAATTTTCAGTATAGACTGCAAGAATAACCAGAGTCCCAACAAAATGAGATCTGTTTGAAAATCATATGAATGTATTACGGCACGAAAAACAAGGAAACAAAAAAAACGAATTCGTACTACATTCAGAAAACTGATATGACGAAAAATAATACTTGGGAATTTTACAATAACCAGAAAGATATCAATATTGAACAAAAATAATTACTTTAATAACATAAACAAATAACTAAAGACTTACATTTTCTGGAACTTTAGTCAAGCAGCAATCTACAAAATCTTTGAATACCTTACTAAAATCGCCAGTCAACTGAGGAGAAGGGTTCTTTGGGATAAGCATGAGAACACGTATTGGATGTAGGTCAGCATTAGGTGGTTCGCCTTTAGCTAATTCAATGGCTGTAATTCCTGTAGACCATATATCTACCTAGAAAATCCAAAGGACAATTTACAGTTTGTTATTAAATAAAACGTTGAGACCAATAAATAACCCAGTAATTTGTAAGTCAAATTTATTAAGCAGAAAATACAGAAAAAAATAGGTAAGTATCGAAGATTATTTCAACAGTGACTCCTTGACAGATCCAAAACAGACCAAATGAGTAACAAGTGTTAAACGCTGTGTGATGTTAGCTCATTTTTATCATTGAAAACTCCTTTGCTGACAGAAAAGTACAAGCAACTCAGACAAAAAATTAATTACGGTATAATGTCATGGTTTAGTGATTTCGTCGTTATCTGCAGTAACACTTGAATCAAACTGCCATCCTCCAGTAAACAAATAAAATACAATCAAATATCAGCAAATACACCAGCATCAAAGGAAAACAATCTAAGTGGTAATGATCACTTCATTCGACACCGTTAGGTTCCCAAAAAAAAATCCTCAGAACGTGGTTGGCAAAAACCTACGTAATAAAGTCGGAAGACTATATATATATAAATATATATATATATGAATTCTTCCGTGATTATTATTAAGGTATTTCTATCCTAGTAATAGAGACGGCTGTTTGGTGAGATTGCATCTGACTCTCAATACCTACCTTATACTCAAGCATGTGTTGGTTTTATGACTGAACATTTCTAACATCGGACTATTTATTTAGACACATAAACATTGGTACAAGGAGGCACTAAGTATATGTGCGCTACATAAATCATCCGATTTGTGTGAGGACTGGAATAGTGCCCGGGTGCCCAAACCGAAGCAGGTCTATAGATGCTGATCATCCATAGGTCACATCTTGCTCCGGTCATACTGGTATTCAATAGTACAATTTTACTGTAGATTATTTATTTTATTTATTTATTTGAACACATAAATATTGGTATAAGGGGGAACCAGTTATATATACACCATAAAATAATGATGAGAATGGGAAGAAATAAAGGATGCAAGGTGCGTGTAAAAACAAAGGATAATAACGACCACAAATTAGTGTATGGTAGTAAAATAATAATAATGAGGGAAACAGAAAGATACAACCAGGAAGAATTCTTTCAGTTAAAGAAGTTACGGTCACCTTTCATAAAGATCGTAAAAAAGTTACAGCAGGATCGCCACTGGCTTCTATTCTGAGCCATAACTGATAACGTCTCTAGCCACTGTGTTGCACCATCTCTAGGGCCCAACCAGGGAGTCATGAAGGACTAACAGAAGCCAGTCCTGTGCATCTTCCTCTCATACCACGACACTTTACTGTAGAACTGATGATCCACTAATTTTAGTTTCACCGCACTCCAACACTTGACTGCAATGTTGGGACCTTAGTAAGTATTCCGGTTAACATAAGTCGATTATGTAGTCGCAAAAGGTACAATAGATCATTATGTTATTGTGCTATGGTCGCAGATTATAAAGACAGTCTCATTCTGACTATTCTGAGACTGATAGTTTAGAATTTAGTCCTTAGTATACATAATGCTATTCAAGTAAGACGCCATTTGGACGTAGTCCTCTCAGTGAATTAAGTAGCAATATAACAATCTAGGGGGTGCATCGATACGACTTCAACCACCCAAAGGTAAAATGTTACTTAAGGACCAATCCACTACAGCATCACAGAAAATGAAGTAGCAATGAGGGCTGACCATGTGACAATCTGAATACCAGTAGTCCTAAGTTGATAAGTGACACATGATCACAGATGTGAAAACTTTGTCTGACTTTGATAACTAACACTATCCATGGTTCAACCTCAAGCTTTATTTGCTTGTCAAGGGGCGAGTATACTATGCAAAATTTCGTTTTATATTACTCTGACTATAAAACTTGGTTTCTTGGAGTAAATAAATACACCCGTTGCTAGCATTTGATTACAGGTATACTTGAACCTTTCCTTATAAATGATGAAACCATAGATTTAGCAATCCAGAGATCAAGAAGTGGGTACAAATTGGGGATGTCCGAATAGTGGATGAGGATGCAGTTATTAGTAAAAGTTCAACACCTAAGAGCTTATGAAGGTACAAAGTATTGAATATGATTTGAGTAGTTATGTGTTTATATATCATGAGAAAGAAAATCAAATTATAGAACTTTGGAACAAAAAACTATGAACCCTTTACTTTTCAGTCAGTTAGGAATTCCCGAGTGCGAGTCGAATCCTCTGCTTTAAAAAAGGCCTTTACAGGTGAATATTTGGGTGTTAAGTACTGAAGCAAACATGACAGTCCTGAGAATAACTGACCTTAAAATCATACGCATATCGTTGAATTAATTCTGGAGCCATCCAGAATGGGGTCCCCACAAAGGTGCCACGCTTAGTTATAGTTGAACTCAACTGACCAGCGACGCCAAAGTCAGCCAACTTTACATCACCACTGTAGGAAAGCAGGACATTAGCAGCTATCAAAAAGCGAATAGTATACCAATTAATTAATTGGGTCCAGTGAAAACGAAAAATAAACTTGGAAAAGTAAAGCTGAATACGTGCCAATGTCAACAACATGAAGGATATGTAATGGTAATATGAATCAAGACGTAATACAGGAACAGAATAAGCATGCAAACAGAAATACTTAAATTGATAGAATTGTTCACTTTAGTCTACTATCAAAATGGGTAAAGCTATTACTACCCATGGACAAGTACACATTGATAGGCTATCTATAATCAAAAGTGGACAAAGAAAGTCAAACTGAGATAGCTTATGATAAGTGGAGTGCATAAGTAGATACTTTTAACTGTCTTTTGTTAATTATCATTTGAGTTTATGAGCCGACGAGACTATAATTTATGGACGAACTAATCACATTTACGATAGTAGGTCTTGAATTTTTGCGCAAGATTCATTCAACCGTTTGGCTAAATCGTGTTTTGGCGTTTTAGCTTGTCTGTTCGTGATGAAAACCATGAGTCTAATTCCTAATCCTAACCATCAATTGTAAATCATAACCCTTAATCTTTAGACTACTTCATAATCCTCATTTAGCTCTAGAAAGTAAATGGACATTCTTTTGGTCACTTTAGCGTTGCTCAAAGGTCGTCCATAAATTAGTCTCACCGCTTCATTTTGACCTATAGACTATCGTGATACGATTCGCTATTCCTAAATCATACTTAGTTTATTGATTACCGTCTCCCACAGTCACAGCCACTTTTGGCTTGATCCTGTACAATTTTTATTTTTAATGGTCTGTGGCCTGATTTGTTTGTATATAAACCAAGTATGTCTGGAATAAATTAATCATATAGTGAAAGCTGGTATTGGTGTTCTGGACTCAACAGATAGGGCTAGGCAAAAAAAAAGGACCAGTAAGGACGCTAGGTTGTCCATGTCAGTCAATACGTCATTGCTGTGGCAATGTTAAGATTGTATAAGTCGCATTCTGATTGGCGAAGTCACGTGATATTTAACGGGTAAAAGTCACAGCACCAATTTTGATGAGGATCTCTTGCTAATCACTGGTTCGACTGTATACTTTGCGTTCACTGTCTAGCATCTATCTGAGGATTATAAATCCGGAAGCATCCATGAAACTTACAATTAGAATATGTTATGTCGAAATATTTTCCTATAGATACTCTACAAACCACTCCACATATCTACCCTGATCTTCTAAAATACGAGACCTGTTTTAAAACTAGAAAACAGCTGTAAAAGCTTGGAAATTCACCAACACACAACAACAGATGAACTATCAGAACTGTATAAGATTGGACACCCACAGCTTATCCACAACTATAAAGATAAACCATCATCTGAAATCTTTGGAATAAACCAGTTCATCAAATGAATTTAAGACTGAAATGTTACAAATAACAAACCTTTAATATCCCTATGAATTTTACTTTGACTATGTAGGTAATCTAATCCCTTTAATATCTCTCTCAAAATAGTGGATATATGAACTTCTGGTATAGGTCCCGGTTTCATTAAATCCAGGGCCGATCCACCACCTAAGTATTCCATGACGATCCACAGTGTAGTGTCTTTCAAATAAGAACCATGATACTTTGTGATGTACGGGCTGTTGCACTGAGACAAAACTTTGATTTCCTGTTGTATATCTTCAATCTCATCCTCAGCTGCTTCCAGATCAATGAGCTTGATAGCTACAACTTCTCTTGTCCTTCTATCCACACCCTTATAAACTTCCCCGAAAGAGCCTCTTCCGATCCGTTCAAGAATGTCATAAATGGTCTCTGGGTTTACATTCTATACGACAAAAAAATGAAACGTGTGAAAGTTGAATATCATAAACATTACTGCAATGATAGATTAATGAACAAAACACTTACAACTTTCAACTGTGTTCCCCTTGGATCAGGCATAATGTGAAACGAGTCTGAAACCCCCGCTTTACCTTAGTCGATTAAAACAAATAAACATTTTACAGTCTAAAACTTTTTTTGAAAAGTACTAAACCTTCAGCTTTTATATAAAACTTCATTTTAAATTAGATTATATTTCATCACACTAAGTGTTTACATGTCGACTGAGACAGGCAGATTATTTATTTAAAACTTTGATTGGCTGGGTTAAAATCACAAACTATTTACTGCTTGTCTCGGTCTTCAATAGGAGGTTTGAGCATTAAAAAAGTACAACTCTTGCTCTGATGGCTGAACTATATTAATTGGTGATTGAAGAATTAAACTTAAAATAATCACTAAAAGTACCAATGGAACTTAGCGAAATCTCAACCCATCTTTTTAAAGGATCAGGAGGAGGAGTGGTCTTCTTAGCAGCAAAATAAGCGATCTTTTAAAAATGATCATTGATGATGTGACAAATTCTTACCACATTCCCTTTTTATCTCTCTGTATTACACTGACTGGAGCTTGACTTAGGCAGAACGAGTAGATTTTACTTCCTGATACATTCAACTATTTGGCTGCTCTTTCTTCTCCGAACTCAGATAGAACGACAGCCCTCTAGAAGTGGAAGGGCATGATGATTTATGAATTTCACATGAAACTTTGAGTAACCACCCTCAGCAAACATTGGTCTCCCAGTACGGGTACCCAGAATGCATCCGTGGTTCCCAAAAACTGGGAAGTTTGACCTTTGTCAACAAAGTTGTAAAGGACTGGGTGTCACCGTCTAAGAAGCATAAAATCCAAGAAATCGTAGTGAAATCAACTGGTGATTTTGCCGTACAGTCTACCTTTAAGATTGTTCAGCCGGTCAGATATGAGCACAAAAATTTAAAACGCGCTTCAACCACTAAACAGCGAAGTCCTCGACGTAAACGTACCCGAGAACCTGGAAAAACAGCCACTGTTCCAGATGTCTCTGTCATAATCATGAGCCTGAAAGACATCCCTGACCTTCCTTCAGTTTGCAGGACAAAAATGACGCGATGCTCTGGAAAGAGTTAGTCAGGAGGCTCAAACTCCCAAAAATAGAGCTTTTGACGGTCAGACGCCTCACTCGCGGAAAGGACTCTGTGCATCAAAATCACCCAAGACCACTTCGTTTTGCGCTTACTAACGCCGCCGACGTAGAGGATGTGTTACTGGATGGTTATTCACTGAAGTCAGGTGAAAATGTAAGAACACTACCTGATATACCGTATTCTGAGCTCAATTGCATCAGGAACCTTCCCCCTAAGGACAGAGGATACCAAACCGGGAAAACCTGTATAGGTGGGTTACCCGTCTACTCACACGGGACTCATGCAGATAAACAGGGCAGAGAAGCTCATGCGTTTCAAATTGAAACCATAAACTGCTTATATACGAGCGTCGCAAGTATACCGAACAATATGGATTAACTGCGTGAACTCATTAATGCTAATAATACTTATCTGATCGGAATATCTCAAACATGGATATCTCAATTTACGGACGGGAAGCTAGCAATAACCGGGGTATCTTTGTTTCGCAACAACAGAAAAACAGGGGTGGGGGACGGAGTATCCTGATACTTTGATTTTGCGTAGAGGTACATCAGCCACAAGTTTACTTAAATAAAAATAGAGTCAATGCACTCAAATCAGTACATGATCTATAAATTATTTACATAGGAAGCCTAATGTTTGAAGCACACACCCCGTTTATTATTTCTGGATCTAGACCGCTAATTGGTTTCACAATGAAAAATTTCTTCACAACGGAGGCGACCCTCCCTTGAATATAGCACTTTTATCTTCAGAAATATGAATAGAAAATGTTCAAAAACGCTTGACACGGCAACTGCTAGGATGTGACTCTTTCGTGACTGTAGGTAACCCTCGTGCTACAGATAAAAAAATCGCACTAGTAGTGAATAGGTCTTTATTTAGATCTTTGCGGAGTCACAGTGGAGCGTGAGATTACCTATTCAGACAAACAAAGCCTCTCAACATTCAATGTAAGATAGTAGGAAATATAACGACTTTACAAAATAAGGAAGGGAATGAATACTTGAACTCTATTGTTTTAACATATACTTAGTTGTTTGAGGTCAACTATTAACCAATAAACCTAATCTGTTACAACTCCACTCTCGACTACATATATAGATGTAAGCACTTCCCCTTAGAACCTTTATGGTACTGTCGGCTAAAGAACAATCTAATATTTATATACATAGCAATATATGAACTTACATTTCTAACCTCCTGCCCAACCATGATCCGTGACACAGTTTACAGACTCAGGAACAACACATATACAGTACTTACTGTGAAACATCAAAAACCAATGCGTTGTAAGTTTTTTACAGGACGGTATAGTTTATTATGGGATAGGTTGCCAATAACTATCCATAACTGTGACACTCACTAAGTTCAAAAGACTGATAACTCTGTTACTAGATTCCAAAGAGCTTCATCAACTATTACTTTTAACTCCCACCCACCAATGAGGCACTTTATTATTAACCCCATGATATTTACGCCGATCATGAATATAACGGAATCCATTGTCATTAATTTGAATATAACTGAATGATGGAACACAAGGTTTACCCTTTTCCATTAATCATTAATTATCAGTCATGTCCTTATGCTCCTGCTCATCACTTTCAGATTTCGAATCTCTCTAATGTTTAAAGTTGTATTATTCTTCCTAAGTGTCAAATCCTATTTTATTACAAGTAGACATATAACTAATTAAAATTATGGATTCTGATCAACTAAGGTCGATCATAAGAACCTCATAATGTCTTAAACTCTTGTATTTTGTTTTCTCACTCTGGAAATTTACATTCCTATACTCTTTCACATTCTTTGATTAGCTATCTGTCCTTACCTTCTCTAAACCACATATAATTTGAGCATTGCCTGATAACATATACCATTAGTTATCTTCATAGCAATGTGATATACTTACTGGGTATCTAACCCACAATACAGAATCTTTACTCATCTGATTTGGTTTGCTTGTAACATGGAACTAGTAGAGACATTCTATTCCAATAAGAGGCTTAGATTAAAGCAATAATCATGCACACCACAAACTTAAGAGAACCTAACATTACAAAAACAGGAAGGGAAATGTGACTGACCAGCAAACATGGTGGTGATTAGGTAACTTTAATCTACACACATCCGTGTAGCAGAACATTTTTTAAATTACGGCTCCTTATGGTCTAGTGGAATGTCACGAACAAATGGTATTGGTCATTTGCTGTGCAAAATCCCTCTTTAAATCGTGTTTAGAACGCTGAATCGGTTCCACTTCTTACCGAGTAATTCTATTATAAGCAAAACTAGACAATTCGCCAAAATTGAAGCCTACTCATAACCCTATAAAATCTATTAAAATAAAAACGAGCTGAAATGGCTTAGCCAAAATGTGGAGTTAGCCATTTGCGTATCATAATAGAGTTTCCAGTAACATATTTTAAAACTACACATAATATTATACTTTTAGCTTCTTCTCAAATTACCTCCATTTATTCACTCCTCTATCCACTCATACCCTATTTACGTTTATTTTCTTCAACGTATTAGAATGCTCTTTCTTGAAAAGTACCTCAGTAGAAGAGAAGTAGACTAAATAGTCATGCCTTAACTATTCCTTCATAAATAAGAGAACTTTGATAGGTATGAGCATTTTCTGCTCTCCTTCTCGTCCTTTATTTTTCTTGCCTTCCTTTTCAGCCTCCTTGATATATGCCACCGAAAACATGTATGGAACGAGGGACATCATCTTGTACCTTCATTAATGCCTCAGATGTTCCTGAGGGATATAAGGTTACGGTTTACAGAAGCTCTCAAATTTACGTGGATTTAATCCCGACTATCAGTTGCACGTCTCAACGCAACCTTTATACAGCGCGTCAACTGCCGTATTGACAATACGAATCTTACTAATATTATTTACATTCATTTGTAAAATTGTAATACCCATAATTTTATCGTCCATGTACTTTTAAAAATATGAGAACTTTAGGAGATTCAGAAGATTTTTGCGGTGGCTGCATACTTGCAGAGCTAGACGTCCTCTTAGAATCCGACCTAATTTTACAACCGTTAGGATTATGATGCGTTTTGGGGGGTTTAACGCTGGTAGATTGTAGCTATCTCTTCCTGCTTTTCGCTGGCATGGTGTTCTATCTGGAAGAATCTTAATATCCTTGAAAATCTGTTTTTGTCTCAATGAATTGAAAAAATTTAAAAACTCACTAGCGTCTACAGATGAGTTGAATTTGAACAAGATCGGTGAGTGCATACTACAGTGCCTTCTTTTTAATCTTGTGAATACACATGATAAGTGTGTCCTGTTGCCGGCTCTCAGCAGACAAGACTTGATATTTTTAAGGACATATGTGTCCGATATATTAAACGAAATTGCATTTGTAGATCGTCTTATTCTGTCAAATACTTGTGATACAACACGATCTAGGAAATTATTTATGTCATTCATTTGATTTCGAGTCTCTATGGGGTCGGGGTTGGTGAGATACTTAGGCGGATTTAGAATGTTCATGTTAACTTGCAACTTTTTGTATCATCCATGTGGTTGCAGTTTATTAACAGAGTCTTCATCATGTCTGAAATAGAGTCAATCGGTAAAAGCTTGTCTACTTCCGAGTGGACGGAGTAGCTCACTTCGTTGAAACTGTCGAAAATCGTGTTAGATTGTGTCGTTGTCCTACGTTTGGTCGAACGCCTAGAAGCAGGGGTTTTCATTTTCTTTTGTGACATGATAAGAAAGTGACGTATAGCAGATAGATTAAACAAAATGTTGGAAATGAAAATGGGTGAAAAATCAATGTTGATGGCTCAAGTTAATATAGAAATCGAAACCCATGTTTTAACCAGGAGTGAATGTATGGTTTGAAGTCAGTAGTGGGGATGTAGTATGTATGTCAGTATATGTGTGGAGGCAAAATAGAACAAGCATTTAAACTCACAAAGAAATATCTTTTTGT